TCAGTGACTCTTAAGTTGAGGTGATCTGACAGGGATAATAATAATAATAATATTTGATATAGGGCCTTATCACGTCGTTGAGACGTCTTAAAGCTCTTCAGCGTAAATAATGCAAAGTGAATTTGGGACGTTCCTCCTGACGTGAAAGGCGCTATACAAATGTAATCTGTTGTGGTTGTTGCTCTTGTTGTTATTGAATTGACTGTGTATTTTGGGGGCCACACACGGCAGCCGATGGCGCGCGGCAGTGTCCCACAAACAGTCGTGGATTGAGTGACCAAATTTTATTCCCCCTGGAAAGCGATCCACCAATCGACTAACAACCGGGGTAAACAGAGGCGTGTGCGTGTGCGCGTGTGTGTGATTTAAGGAAACTTGCCCAGGGAATGAAACCCGCGTGTTCTCTCGCTCGCGAGGCGAGCGCTCTAACCACTGAGTTGCGGGACTCCCGTAAGATAAACTTAAACGGACTTAAACGAACTCCATTTTAATGCGGTGAATGTAAGAAAGCAAGAGAGAGGGGAGAGGGGGAGAGTGCGGGGGAATTTCATGATCTACCACATCTCTGTTGGGTACAGGAAGCGCACACGGCTACGTTTCCGAGCTGAATTATTTCCTGTGAATCGGGTTGATTATTATTTCATGTGACGTCTGAGGGTTGGAGTGTGTGAGAGAGAGAGAGAGAGAGAGAGAGAGCTGTGTCACGGCGTTGGCTGAGATTAGCCTCAGCGGCAAACCATAGAGAGGTACAACCCCCGGCTTGGGCTCAGGCACGGGGTGGGAAAGGCATTGAGGTGTCGTGAGGATCTGGGACAACCGAGCACCATGGGCATCAAGCGATGGTTGGTTTGTGGGGTGCCTCAAGGTATGTAACACTGTGTGAGAGCTCGCGTTACCCCGGCCGGGGCTGTAACCCCTTTCTCCCTCCCTCCCTCCCTCCCTGGTCACTCTCTGCCTGTCGGCCACGCTCATATGGTTATCATCTTGTCTCTAAGTCATCGAGGTTGTGGGTTCGAGCCCTCCCCTCCCCCTCACTCCACATCGGGGACTTTGAACTTGCACATGAGACGTTAAACCTCACTCTCTCCCCGTCCGGGTCCTGTTCAGGTGGATGTTAAAGATCCGGTGGCGCTGTTGGAAAAGAGAACGGAGTCTCTCTCTCTCTCTCTCTCTCTCTCTCTCCCGGTGTCCTGGACGACAATCCTCCAGATAAAACCAGTCACTCGCTTCACGGCTGTCTGCGGGACGGTCGCTGTGCGCAAACTGGCTGCCCCGTCGCGTCGCAAAGCGCACAGTCACTACACGTCACAGTAAAATCCCGCAAACATTATTCCTGGTTTACTGAACACACGGTATCGTAGAATCTTACAGCACAGAAGGAGGCCATTCGGCCCATCGTGCCCTGTGCCGTCTCTTTGAAAGAGCCACCAGCTCGCCCCACTCCCCCGCTCTCACTCACCCCATAACCCTGCACATTTTTCCTATCCTCTGGTTACCGACCCGCCCGCCCGCCAGCCAGAGGGAACAGTTTCTCCCTATTTCCAGTTCTTTGGGACATCCTCCCGGCGTGAAAGGCGCAATAATAATAGATAATAATCATCCTTGCATTTGATCTGTATCCCTTTTCGCATCTTCTCGACGTCTCAAAGCGCTTCACAGGATAATAATAATAATAATAATAATCCTCACATTTGATATAGCGCTTTTCACGTCGGGAGGACGTCCCAAAGCGCTTCACACAACACACTGTAAAGTGAATTGACTGTATGTTTGTGGGCGAACGCGGCAGCCAATTGCGCACAGCAATGTCCCACAAACAGTCGTAAATTGAAAATGACCAATTTATTATTGTTTTGGTTTTGGAGGGATTATTATTAGGCTCTGTGTGGAGTAAGGAAACTTGCCCAAGGTTTCGCCCTCTGCCTGGAATTGAACTCAGGTCTCTCACTTGCAAAGCGAGTGCTCTAACCACTGAGCTACAGGACAAACATAATGTGTCGTTCTTGTTGTTATTTACCATCTCAAAATGTCTGATAATTTTGAACGCCTCTATTAAATCTCCCCTTAACCTTCTCTGCTCTAAGGAGAACGATCCCAACTTCTCTCATCTCTTCACATAACTGAAGTCCCTCATCTGAATACTTTTTTCCCTCTTTGTCGCTTGTCCTTGTCCATGAGGCCTCTGGTTTTGCTCGGGGAGGAGTGTTTGACTGTAGAGGCCGAGAGACATGCTGTCCGCACGCACGCACAGACCTTCCAGCAAGCGAGGGTGTGTGTGTGTGTGGGGTGGGGAGGGGGGGAGTGGGTGGGGGGCAGTTGGCGATCAGGAATAGGAAGACTGGCTGATTTCTCCCTTCCTAACCCAAGTTTATAATAATAATAATAATAATAATAATAATCCTCGCATTTGCTATAGCGCTTTATCATGTCATTGGGATGTCTCAAAGCCCTTCACAGGATATAGCGCAAACTTCAGTGACTGTGTATTTTGTGGGCGAAACCTGGCGGCCAATAGCGCACAGCGGCGTCCCACAGACTGTCGGGGATTGAAGTGACCAAATTTTTGTTTGTTTGTTTGTTTCTTTCTTTCTTTCTTTCTTTCGAGGGATTATTACCCCCGAAAAGTGATGCGACGATCGACTAACAACCGGGTTCCTACGTGCTGACAGGCAGACAGTGTGCCTAAGGTTTCGCCCTGACTCGGGAATTGAACTCGAGTCCTCTCGCTTTTCGAGGCGAGCCCTCTAACCCCTGAGCTACAGGACTGCAGAAGTAACAGGTGTCCATCATTCCCCTTTCCCCCTGCCTCGACCCTGATCCCTCCACCCAATGACACCCCCCTCCGCCCGCCCCTCTCCAGACTGCCAGCGCTCAGCGAACATTGCCCGTCCGTACCTGTTCAGGTGGACTTTTAGAGACCCCTCGAAAAGAGTGGGGTCTCTGACTCTCTTGGTGTCCTGGTCGACAATCCCCCAAATAAAATGTTATTTATTTTATGGTTATTTGTGAGGACATTGTTGTGCGCAGATTGGCTGTAGATTGGCTGATGTGTTTCCCTATTTTGTCCCCCCCACCCCCCACCCCACCCTACAAAATAGGGAACCACATCAGCCAGTGTTCCCGTATTTTGTAGAACAAAATCCCCTTCAGTGCTAATAATAATCCTCGCATTTGATACAGCTCCTTATTGCGTCTTCCAGACATCTCGAAGCGCTTCACAGAATACGCTGATAAGTGACTGTGTATTTTGTGGGCGAAATGCGGCAGTCAATTGCTCACGGCAGCGTCCCACAGAATTGTTTTGGGTGCGGGCGATAGGATTTATTGCCACGGAAAGCTATTCGAAAGAAAGAAGGGCCCAATGAAGCCCTTCGATCAATCCCCGATAGTGTATGGGACTGATTGGGTAGCTCTTGCAAAGAGCCAGCACGGGCACGATGGGCCGAATGGCCTCCTTCTGCTCCGTAAGATTCTATGATTCTATGACTCAATTGTCTGCCACTTTTTGCCCACAAAATACGCAGTCGATCCACTTGACACTACACTCCTGTGAAGCGCTCTGAGACGTCTCAATGACTTGATGGGGCACTGTATCGAACATAAGGATTATTCTTGTTGCCCTCAGGCTCTGGGGGGGCTGGTTTTACCCTCCGCCTGGTAAATTACCAGCAGAGTCTGTGGTGGAATCAGTGCCCGGACGCTTCTCATGGTTCCCGTTGCTCAGGGCTTTGCAAAGTTGCCGTTTAAGCGAGGAAGTTAGCAGGAAATGACCGTTTTATCTTAGTAACAGCGAAACAGGATGGAGCGTTGCTGATGCGATGATGTGGGTGCTGATAAGGTCGCCCTCAGCCTGTCTGAGGAGATCAGAGAACAGGATGCCCGCCAGCCTTCACCCCCAAAAAAAACTCCCTCCTCCACTAAACAGCACCTCCAAAGTTCCCTCAGGTGGATGTTAAAGATCCCACGAGAGAAGGGAGTTTCGCTCTCTCTCCCCCGTTTCCTGACCAACGATTCCCCCAGATATTTGTGGGGACGCCGCTGTGCGCAACTGGCTGCCACGTTTCGCCCACAAAATACACAGTCACTACACGTTACCTGTGGGGAGCATGTGTGTAAGGGGTGGTAGTGTATGTGTGTGTGTGAGGAGAGAGTGTGTGTGTGTGTGTGAGGGGAATGTGCGCGTGTGTGTTGTGTGGGGAGTGTGCGCGTGAGGGGAGTGTCTGTGAGGGGAGTGTGTGTGTGTGGTGTGTGTGTGTGAGTGGAGTGTGTGTATGTGTGTGTGTTTGGGGTGTACGAGTGTGTGTGGGGGGGTGGGTGTGGGAGTGTATGTGTTTGTTGTGGGGTAGTGTGTGTGAGGGAGCGCGTGTGTGTGTGTGAGGGAGCGCGTGTGTGTGTGAGGGAGCGTGTGTGTGTGTGTGTGTGAGGGTGAGTGTGTGTGGGCGCGGGTGGGGTGGGGTGGGGTGGGGGTGATATAGAGGAGCTGTTTATCTCGGTGCTTGGCTGTGTTGCTCGTCGAGTTCACATCAGCCTCTGATACCATCATTTAGCTCTGACCATAATGATCCTCAACTCTGATAAGGAGCCTTTCACGTGGGGAGGAGATCTCAAAGCGCTTCACAGGATGCACTGTAAAGTGCAGTGACTGTTGGAACACCGGCATTGACTATGTGGGTTCCAGGTCCTGAGGTGGGGCTAAGACCCCACAATCTTACAGGGCAAATTGACATTTCTCTAACGTCTTTCATACCGGAAGAATATCCCAATGCGCTGGACCAGATGAGGGTGTCTTCAACAGGCACGGACTCAATTTAACGGCTGCCCCCCCAGCCCTGCCCTGTGATTCCAAGCCCCGGTGTGGGTGGGGGTTTGAACCCACAAGCTCTTGAGTCTCAGAGGCCGAGAGTGAGCGCGACCCACCGAGCCGGGCTGCGACCGAGGAGATTGGTAGCATCGCACAGGCCCTGAGGACCGAATCAATCCTTGCTTTCCTCTTCCCTCAGAGGATCCCTCAGGGAAAAGGGGCCTTTCCAACATGGGGACACCGCGGAGCACTGAGGCCAGCAAAGGGCCAGCAGCAGCCAAAAATGTGAAGGTAAGGACATCCCTCTCCCCCGCACCCCTCTCTCTCTCTCTCTCTCTCTCACACCCTCCAGCTCTCCTCCTCTCCCAATGGCACTGAACACCTCACTCAACCACTATCCCATCCACCCATTTCTCTCTCCCCGTTGACCAGTTCCCCTGAGCCGGGCCTTCTGCTGAGCTCTGGACACAACCAAGTTTGTCAAATAGAATCACAGTAAATCACAGCCCAGCGAGAGGACCCGGGGCTCGATTCCCCGGAGGGGGTGAGGGTGGTGGGTGGTGGGTGGGGGAGAAACCTTGCGGCAAGTTTCCTTAACTCTACACACACGCACACACACGCACACACACGCACGCGCGCCTCTGTTTACCAAGCAGTAAGTGGGAACCCTGTCGCTAGTCGATCGGTGGATGGATCGCTTTCCGGGGGGTAATAATCCCTCCAGAAACCAAGAGAAATTATGAAAAATAAAATAAAATGTGGTCTCTCGATCGTGACCGGTCGTGGGAGGCCGCTGTGTGTAATTGGCTGCCATATTTTGTCCGCGCAGTACGCAGTCAATTAATTTGAACTGTATATTCTGTGAAGCGCTTTAAGACGTCTCAACGATGTGATGAGGGGCTGTATCAAATGCGAGGATTATCATTATTATTACATTATTATTATTATTATTATTATTATTGACTAATCGTGCATCACTTCTGGTGCAGAACATCATCATGAAGAGACTGAAGAAAAAGAACCAGATGAATCCAGACCCGACCCACTCTCCCAACATGGACAAGCAGAGGTAACCGCTCGGGGTCGGGCATATAATGGCCGACCCGCCACCTCGTGCTCCGCCACCGTCAAGCGTGAGGGGCGCTGTGTAAATGCACGTTGTTGTTGTTGGTGTTGCTGTTGCTCTGGTTGTCTGGCAACTGCCACACGTGCGACAGAGTCCAACGCCCCAGTGGTTCACAGCAACAGCGCGACAGTGCTGGGGGAATTGGTGTGCATGTGTGCGCGTGTGCGTGACCGTGCGTGCGAGAGTGTGCGTGTGTGTCGATTTCAAGATCCTCACCCTTGTATTCAAGTCCCTGCACTCCTCTGAACGCCCCCTCCGACCTCTCTGACCTCCTCTCTCTCCTCAAAACGTCGCCTTCGTTCCTCTGGGTCTGGCCTCCCCCGAGTCCTCTGCTCCACCCTCGGCGGCCGTGCCTTCAGCCACTACGCCCCGAGGCTCTGGAACTTCCTTCCTCTCTCCCTTCGCCTCACACCCCCCCCCCCCACCCCTCCAAATAATAATCCCCTCCCCCAAAAAATACTTGGTCACTCAATCCACAAGACTATTTGCTGGGACGCTGCTGTGCGCAATCGGCTGCCGTGTTTCGCCCACAAAATACACAGTCACTACACTCCGCAGTGTAGTCCGTGACGTGTTTGAGACGTCTCAACGACGTGATAAGGCGCTGTATCAAATGCAAGGATTATTATTGCTATTTATACGGTCTAACTAGTCTGTGCCGGTGTTTATACTCTACGCAAGGCTCCCTGTCCTATTCCACCTCCGCCCAAACCCACTCCACCCCACCCATACACCTCTTCCTCATGAATGCATCGAGCTTCTTCTTAAGTGTATAAATGCTTCAACCACAGCTTCTGGTTGTGAGTTCCACATTCGCACCAACCCTCTTGCGCGGAGAATTTCTCCCCAACTCAACAACAACAACAACAACAACAAGATTCCATTTATAGAGCGCCTTTTACGTCGGGAGGACGTCCCAAGGCGCTGGACGGTTGGGTCAGGACCCGAGCATTGGGGGGAAATGGTCAGGGTGAGGGGAGGGAAGGGAGGGAGCGAGGAGGGGGGAAATGGTCAGGGTGAGGGGAGGGAAGGAGCGAGGAGGGGGTAGAGAGTGGAGAGATGAGCTGAAGGCACGGTCAAAGAGAAAGGTCTTGAGACCGGCCTTGAAGGAGGAAAGAGAGGAAGCGGCGAAGGCACTGGGGGATGGAGTTCCAGAGCCTGGGGGCTGAGAGGCTGAAGGCCACCGATGGTAGGGCGGTTGGGGCGGGGGATGTGGAGCAGACCGGAGCCAGAGGAACGGAGGGTACGGGCAGGTAGGTAGGGGGATAGTAGGTCGGATAGTAGGTCCCTCACAGAACTATAGACATTTACAACAGCAACAACAACTTGCATTTATGTAGCGCCCTACATGCTGGGCCTATGTCTTGGAGCTCTTAACAGTGGTGGAGCCCGATGCCGAGCCAGGGAGAGGGGGGAGGGGAGAGGCACAGTCGAAGAGGAAAATGGGGAGAGAGGGGGTCAAGGCGAAGGGGTTGAGGGAGAGAGTTCCACGGCTTCGGGACGTAGTGGCTGAAAGCACGACCATCGATGGCGGGGGAGTGGCGTGGCGTCCAGGGGACAAGGAGGAGGCCGGAGCCAGGTGAGCGGAGGCGGTGGTGGAGGAAGAGAGCAGGTTGGGGGAGATGGGGGTGGGGGTGGGGGGGCGGGGGGTGGGGGGGAGCCAAGACGTGAAGGGATTTAAATACAAGAGCGAGTGAACTTAAATACACGACATACAATACACAGTCCCTTTGCTTTGCAGTGTAGCGCTTTGAGACGTCTCAACGACATGATAAGGCGCTGTGTCAAATGCAAGGGCTCTTATTATTATTATTACTATTATTATGTCTCACTCAAGCCTGTGTCATTGCCCTTCCAGACGCTTCACCATGCAGAGCATGAGGGCAGCCTCCTACGAGTCGCTGAGTGGTATCCTGAGCCCGATAGAGACACTGGATCTGAGCAACGAGACCGGAGTCATCATCAGACCTCTGCACAGCAGCATTCTGGGCGAGAAGCATTGCTTCGAGGTAACGTGGCTCAGTGGTTAGAGCACTCGCCCCGCAAACGAGAGGACCCGGGCCGAAAATCGGTCACGGTTCCTCACTCTACCCACACGCGCCTGTTTACCTCGACAGCGTATCCCGTGAAGCGCCTTGAGACGTCTCGACGCCGCGATAAGGCCCACGCGTCAAATGCAAGGATTATTATTGCGATTACTGTTATTACTGTGGGTTATCATAACGCTCCGCGTGTTCTCGCATGTCTTTACTCCCTGTCCACTCCAGGTTATCCACTCCGGAGGAAGCCAGTGCTTTGGATGTGCCTCTGCCGCAGAGAGAGACACGTGGATTGATAACCTTCGCAGAACAGTCCAGCCGAACAAGGTAAAAGCCTCGTCCTCACCTTCAAAGCCCTCCACGGCCTCGCTCCTCCCTACCTCTGTGACCTGCTAACCCCATATCGACCTGTCCGTTCCCTCCGCTCGGCGGGCTCCGGCCTGCTCCGTGTCCCCCGCTCGGCCCGACCCACCATCAGTGGGTCGGACCCTCACCCTTTCTGCCCCTACCCAGTACCCACACCCTCTTCACCCTCTCTGCCCCCTCTGTCCAGCATTTTGGCACATACTCCCGACGTGAAAGGGGCTCTGTAAATGCAACTGGTTGTTGTATAGCATTTTAAATGGGATTGAAAAAGATAACCCAGCCAATACCCCCTCCCCCCCCCCTCCCCACCCCTCTAGGCTCCCACCCTCAGCTCGGGTGCCCAGTCTAGTGGTGTCGAGCGCTTTGGGATATCCTCTCGACGGCCTCCTTCATCCAAACCCGTCTTGTGATCTTGTGAGGACACCGGGTTAACCATCACAATAATAATCCTCCCATTTGGTACAGCGCCTGTCGCACTGGGAAGAAGTTACAAAGCGCTTCACAGGACATACTGAGGTGACCGTGTGTTTCTGCGGGCGAACGCGGGCAGACGGTTGACGAGTTTGCAATGTTGTTATTAATGGTTTTCCTGGGCGGGAGGGTATTAATCCCTTAACGAAAGAAATGGTCGCTCAATCCACGACCGTTTGTGGGACACTGTTGTGCGCCATTGGCTGCCCAATAAGCCCAATGAGGCGCTCTGAGACGCCGTCCGGCGCGAAGGGCGCTATATAAATCCAAGTTGTTGTTGTTGTTGTTGTTGTTGCCGCGTTTCGCAATCAAACACGCAGTCGATTCACCGTGTGTCTGGTCGTGTCTGACAGGACAATTGTGAGCGAGTGGAGAACATGCTGAGCCTTTGGGTGAACGAAGCTAAGGACCTGCCGACGAGGAAAAAATATTTCTGCGAGGTTCACCTGGACTCATCTCTGTACGCCCGCACCACCAGCAAAGCCAACACCGAGAAGCTGTTCTGGGGGGAGCACTTCGAGTTCAACAACCTGCCACAGGTGGGGGAGCTCACTCTCCACGTCTTCAGAGACGAAGACAGGAAGAGGAAGGACGTGAGCGCCCTGGGCTCCCTCACCATCCCGCTGGCCGAGGTCACCGGCCGCCAGCACGTGGAGAAGTGGTACCCCATCAACGTCCACCCTCTGCAGAAGGGCAAGATCGCCAGCCCCACCGTGCGGGTCAACCTGCGCTATCAGAACATCAAGGTGCTGCCCATGATACACTACAAGGAGTTCGCTGAGTACATCACCTGCAATTACATGCCTCTCTGTACGGTGCTCGAGCCCTCGCTCAAAGTGAAAGATAAGGAGGAGGTGGCCTCCGCTCTCGTCCACATCCTGCAGTGTACCAGCAAAGCCAAGGTAACCGTCCCTCCATCCAACATCTAGCGCAGTGATTAGAGAGCTCGCCCCTGGAAGAAGTTACCCCACAATCCCTAACCGCTGCCTTGGAGTCCTCTGAACTCCTCTCCCTCTGGCCTTCAACCCTCACTGACCCCTCTTCTCCTCTCACCCTCCTCCACAACACCCTCTCCTCCACACCCGATACTCTTGCCCCTATCACCTCCCGTACTGTCTCCTACTCTCGCTCCTCCCCCTGGTTCACCACCCACCTCCGCTCACTGAAAAGTCAGGTGTGGGCCGCTGAGCGCACCTGTGTCAAATCTGGCCTAACGGTCCACCGACAAATCTGGCTGGACCTCCTCAAAATCTACCACTCCACTCTAGCCTCGGCCAAGTCGTCCTTCTACTCCAGGATAATCCTGGAGGCGAAGGACAACCCCAGGCTACTGTTCTCTACCACATCCCGACTCCTCCGTCCCCACCGCCACCCCGCGCAGGTCATCTCCTCCACCCTTCACTGCGAGGAGATGCTGGATTTCCTTGAATCCAAAATCAAGGGAATTCGCTCCGCGGTCACTGCCCCTCCAACATCCACCCACCCCCCACCCCCTCCCTCCTGCCCAAGGTCCTGGAACGAGTTGTCGCCTCCCAACTGCGCTCTTTCCTTTCCACCCATTCACTTTTCGAACCCCTTCAGTCGGGTTTCCGTGCTGCCCATAGCACAGAAACTGCCCTGGTCAAGGTCACCAATGACATCCTGACCATCTGTGACAGGGCTCCCTCTGTCTCCTCGTCCTCCTCGACCTATCGGCAGCATTCGATACGGTCGACCACACTATCCTCCTCCACCGCTGGTCCTCCCACCTCAACCTTCAAGGCCCTGTCCTTGCGTGGTTTAGGTCGTACCTCTCCCACCGTCTTCACTTTGTTTCCACGAATGGCTTCTCCTGTGCGGTGTCCCTCAGGGCTCTGTCCTCGGTCCCCTCCTCTTCACCCCCTATATGCTCCCCCCTGGTGCCATCATCCGCAGACATGGGGTTAACTCCCACATGTATGCGGATGACACCCAACTCTACCTTTCCTCCTCTACCCTCAACTCCACGACCCCCGATGTCCTGACAGCTGTCTGTTCAACCCTGAGCTGTCCTTTCTCCCTTATATCTGCACCACAACTGGCACCGCCTTCCATCACCTCCGGAACGTCGCCAGACTACAGCACTACCTCACCCCTCACGCGGCTGAAACTCTGGTCCACGCCTTTGTCACCTCAAGGCTGGACTATGGGAAGTCTCTCCTCTCCGGCCTTCCCGCCACCTCCCTCCACACTGCAGGTCATTCAGAACTCTGCAGCTCGTGTACTGTCCCGCACCAGACACCGGGACCACATCACTCCCCCCCTCGCCCTCACCCTCACCCTCGCCCTCACTCCCACCCTCGCCCTCGCTCGCCTCCACTGGCTCCCCATCCCCCAGAGGATCGAATTCAAGATCCTCATCCTCACCTACAAAGGCCATTCACGGCCTCGCTCCCTCCTACCTCTCTGACCTACTATCCCCCTACCTACCTGCCCGTACCCTCCGTTCCTCTGGCTCCGGTCTGCTCCACATCCCCCGCCCCAACCGCCCTCCCATCCGTGGCCGGGCCTTCAGCCTCTCAGCCCCGAGGCTCTGGAACTCCATCCCCAGTGCCTTCGCCGCTTCCTCCCTTTCCTCCTTCAAGACCTTTCTCTTTGACCGAGCCTTCAGCTCCCCTCTCGACTCTCTACCCCTCCTCGCTCCCCCCTTCCCTCCCCTCACCCTGACCATTTCCCCCCTGCTCGGGTCCCGACCCAACTGTACAGCGCCTCGGGACGTCCTCCCGACGTGAAAGGCGCTCTATAAATGGAATCTTGTTGTTGTTGTTGTTGAGAGGACCCAGGTTCGATTCCCGGTCGGGCCAAAAACCCAAGGCAAGTTTCCTTACTCCACACAAACACACACACACACACACACGAGTCCAGGGCGCTCACGTCCTTCCCCACACACACCTCTGACCCAGCAGTAAGTAGGAACCCGGTTGTTAGTCGATTATATCAAATTCAAGGATTGTTGTTGTTATTATTCAGCAGCAGTGGAGATGATTAGAGGAACGGAGGTGGTGGAGATGATTTTTTTGGGGGTCAGCCGGGTGTCCGACACGTGCGGAAACCCATCAGCGTTGCTTAATAGTATCCAAACCAAACCGAAAATTCCATGTCTCCCACCTGCACATGGAAATCCCAGAGATAGATCGTTAGAATGGAATGTATACTCTCTTCCGGGAGAGACACCTCCTGTTCACCTCATTCTGTAAAGTCATAGGCGTAGGTTGGCGAGAGGCAAGGCTTGGGGATCCCAGAGTGTGCGTTGGGGGTAACTGTTGGGAGTCGGAACCAGCTAAACCCTCTGGAGGTGGTTAGAGGAATGGGGTCCATCAGGTAACAGAGAGAAGGCAATGAGTGTAAACATTAGGATGTGCCAAAAACAAGTCATCTCCTTCAGACTATAATAATAATCCTTACCTATTGATATCGCGCCTTTTCAAGTCTTCCCGACGTCTCGAAGCGCTTCACAGAATATACTGTAAAGTAAATTGACGGTATATTTGTGGACGAAACACAGCAGTCATTTGCGCACAGCAGCGTCCCTATAAACAGTCGTGGATTGAGTTGACCACATTATTATTATATTTTTATTGGAGGGATTATTAACCCCCGGAAAGCGATCCGCCAATCAATTAACAACCGGGTTCCTACTTACTGCTCGGTAAACAGAGTAGGTAGAGTAAGGAATCTTGCCTAAGCTTTTGCCCTGACCTGACCTGCCTGGGGATCGAACCCGGGTCCTCTCGCTCTCGGACGGACTAAGCAGGAAGGGAGGAAGAGTGAGGTTGTATCTGGTTGGCAGTCAGTGAGATGTGTGTGTGCGTGTGTTTGTGTGCCTCTTGTGCAGGAGTTCCTGATCAAGTTGGGGATGTCGGAGGTGGACCGCTGCGAGGAGAAACATTCTGTTATCTTCAGAGAAAACACGTTGGCCACCAAGGCCATCGACGAATACATGAAACTGATTGGACAGAAGTATCTGGTGGACACACTTGGTATGAGAATCAGCCTCAGCCCCCCTCTCCCCTCCCCTCCCTCACCCGATGTCCGACCCCACCACTGTACAGCGTTCAGAAACACCGCCTAGTTTTTTTTCCCAGCCGTGTGTCTGACACACGCAGAAACCCATCGCCGTTGCTTAAGAGTCTCCAAACTCAACTGAGAATTCCCTGCATCCCACCCACACCCGGAAATCCCAGAGACAGTTAATTATAACAAAATGCGCTCTCTCTCTCTCTGTCTCTCTCTCTCTCTGGAGGGTCACAACCTGATTACCTAATTCTGGAAAGTATTAGGCGCAGGTTGGCGAGAGCCAAGGCTTTGGGGGGTGAGCCCAGAGTGTGCGTTGGGGGTAACTGCTGGAGGCTAACCAGCTAAAAACACTGAGAGCGTCACCCACGGAGCACTGTCTGGCCGAGCTTTCCCGCTGCTTGTCCAACTGGGACCACCCGACCTATTGGGGAGCTGTGTAAATGCAAGTTGGGTGTTATGAAAGCTGCTGTATGTACTAAATGTAAGGAATAATAATCCTTCCATTTATTACAGCACCTTTCACATTTGGAGAAAGTACTTGACAGGACTTACTGTAAAGTGTAGTGACTGTGCGTTTTGTGGGCACACACGACGTCCCACAAACGGCCATGCGGAGAATGATTAATTATCTTGGGGACTGTTGGCCGGGGGACACCGGGAAGCTAAGTGTAGCATCTTATTTGAAGGACGGCACCTCCGACAATGCAACCTCCCCCAGCACTGCATCGGAGCGTCACCTCAGACTACGTGAGTTCCAAGTCCCAACGCGGAGGCTTGAACACACGACCTTCTGACTCAGAGGCGAGAGGGTCGCCCACGGAGCCAGGCCTGTTGCGGTTGACTCACGCTAGGGCCGGGGCAATGCTTGGGGCAGGCAGAGGACAAGTGACACCGTACCACACCGAAGGTTTACAGCAATCGTGATGTGGAAGTGTTAGATCCTGTGGACGAGGCTGGAAATCAAACGCTCTCCCTCTCACTGGCTCTTACAGGAGATTTTGTGACCAAACTGTCCAGCAATGAAGCCAGCTGCGAGGTGGATCCCAGCAAGTGTCCGGTCAGTCAGGTACCCGAGAACCAAAACCACATGAGGGCGAGCTGCGAGGAGGTTTTCAAGCAGATCACGGACTCTCACTGGTGAGTGACGCTGAGATGTGTGTCTGTGAGTGACTTTCACGTCCCGAGGTGCCGGACCTGTACCTGAGCTGAGGGCTGGAGTCAAGAGGGCGGAGGGCAAGTGAGGACGGGAGAGAAGATAAGCAAAGGCACGGTCAAAGAGGAAGATCTTCAGACGGGCCTTGAACGAGGCAAGGGAGGGGGTGGAGTTCCACAGGGGTGGTGGCAGAGAGGCTTACGGTTGGTAGGTTGGTGAGGAGTTCACACAGATAGGGCAGAGCAAGTCGGCGGAAGGGGCTTTAAAGGTTTCGGCGAAGGTGACTCGGAGTGACGATAATAATTCTAACAATCCTCCCATTTGATCGAGCGCCTTATCACGTCTTCGAGACGTCTCAAAGCGCTTCACGGAAACACATTTTGCAAAGTAAATTGGCCGTACGCAGTGGGCAGCGTCGAGCAATTGCGCACAGCAGTTGTGGATTGAGTGACCGCATTTTTTCCCGGAGGGATTATCATTACACACGGAAAGCGATCTGTCAATCGACTAATAAGCGGGTTCCTACTTACTGCTGGTTCGGTGTTGAGGATGTTGAGGATTTGGCCCAGCGCAGGGTGGCTTTGCTGAGCCCTTCACCTTTCCCTCGGCAGCTCGTTCCCTGCGGAGCTGAGGGAGATCTTCGCAGGCTGGCAGCAGCAGTGCAAGCAGAAGCAGAAGGAGGACACGTGGCAGCGGATGGTGTGCTCCTCACTGTTCCTGCGCTTCCTGTGTCCGGCCATCATGTCTCCCAGCCTCTTCAACCTGACCCAGGAGTACCCCGAGGACACCACCGCCCGCGGCCTCACCCTCATCGCCAAGGTCATCCAGAACCTGGCCAACCACACCACGTGAGTGACCCACCGTCCAACTGACGCGGGCAGGGCTACAGGGCAAAGGCAGGTCATTGGGAGTTGAGCTACAGATCAGCCGTGATCTAACAGAATGATGGAACCGGGGCTGAATGGCTTACAATATGTTCCTATGAGTCAATGACAACAGCAACAAATGACATTTACACTGCGCCTTTGACATCAGGAGGCGTCCCAAGGCGCTGGACAGTCGAGGCTTTGCACACGAGCAAACGCGGGATATGGGTCGGGTTGTCACCTCTGGTACACCAATAAAGTGGCCCCCGGGCTGGGCACCGTCTTGGTAAAACCATCGTCCGCGTTGACGATGGGGGGGGGGGGGTGGGTGGGGGGTGGGGGGGGGAGCGAGCGGCCATCTTGGTAAAACAACAGCAAATGCAACAGATGACGTTTGTGGAGCGCCTTTCGCGTCCGGGAGGACGTCCCAAGTTGCTTGACGTCCGCCCCACGGTATCACGTCGCTGTTGAAACTTCCCGCGTTCGCGCTTTCCTCCACTGAACTGCGTCCGCCGCGGTCCGTCCCGCCCGCCCGCCCGCCCGCCGGCTTCCCCCGCGTGGCCTTCCCGTGCGTGAACGATGCTTGTGGTCGGCAGCTTCGAGGATAAGGAGGAGTACATGCACTTCATGGACGGCTTCTTGGAGTCAAACCGGGAGAACATGCAAGCCTTCCTGGCGCAGGTCTCCGGCGCGGACCACGACACGAGCTGCTCTCCGTTCGAAGGCTGCATTGACCTGGGCCTTGAGCTATCAACCCTGCACTCCCTTCTCTGCGACATCACCACCAACATGGATCAGGTAACGTCCCGTCGCGGTTCCATGTAACCTTCCAGACCTTTTTGTTATCTGCCGATCGTAACGCAGCACAAAATCGGCCCCAATTAGGCGCGGCACAAAATGGCCGCCACCGAGGTCGCTGCAGGCTCTGACCTGGGAGTGTAGTGACTGTGTGTTACTGTGTCTCCGACCGTGACCTGGGAGTGTAGTGACTGTGTGTTACTGTGTCTCCGACCCTGACCTGGGAGTGTAGTGACTGTGTGTTACTGTGTCTCCGACCCTGACCTGGGAGTGTAGTGACTGTGTGTTACTGTGTCTCTGACCCTGACCTGGGAGTGTGGACGGACGCACAGTGAAGAGGGACCTTTACTGTGTCTCTACCGGACAGTGTGGCTTTATTCTTGCGTTTGATAAAACGCCTTATCACGTCTTCGAGACGTCTCAGAGCCCTTCACAGAACGTAGTGTGAAGTGACTCGACGGTACATTTTGTGGGCGAAACGCCCGTAAGGCACTGCGGTGTATAAATGTAAATTTATAGTGTGTTGTATTTTCATGTGGTCTTCAATATATTGCTCTCCTTCTCTGTCCACTGTGTGTGTCTCCACCGGACGCGTCTGCCCCGGGTGCCCTCCGTGCCGCGGTTCGGAAAGCAGCAGTCCCTGGACAAGCTGGAACCACTGCCCGCCATCCTCAACGCCATCTCCGATCCCAACGCTCCCCGTGTCCATCACCAGCCCTTCAAGTAAGTGACGCCGTGTTTGTCGGACAAACTTTCCGCCTCGACCATTGTCACTTCCTGTGCGCCAACACTGACATCACTTTCCGTGCGCCAATACTCGCATCACGTCCGGTGTGGCACGCTGACGTCACGTCCTGTGTGGCACGCTGACATCACGTCCTGTGTGGCACGCTGAAATCACGTGTGTGGCACGCTGACATCACGTCCTGTGTGGCACGCTGACGTCACGTCCTGTGTGGCACGCTGACGTCACGTCCTGTGTGGCACGCTGACATCACGTCCTGTGTGGCACGCTGACATCACGTCCTGTGTGGCACGCTGACATCACGTGTGTGGCACACTGACATCACGTCCTGTGTGGCACACTGACATCACGTCCTGTGTGGCACGCTGACATCACGTGTGTGGCACACTGACATCACGTCCTGTGTGGCACGCTGACATCACGTCCTGTGTGGCACACTGACATCACGTCCTGTGTGGCACACTGACATCACGTCGTTGGCACACTGACATCACGTCCTGTATCCCACCACTGACGTCACTTCCTGCAGGGTGTCCGATGCTGTGACCGCTCCGGCCGTGACCATTCTTTCCGAACCTCCCCATTTGCCTATTCGGTGCCCATATCTTAAATTGATGCCCCTCCGGTCACCGCCGGGGGACGGTTTGGGATTGTCTCCGGACGATGAAAAATATATATTTTAAATATGAACATAAATAAATATAAATCCGGATGTATACATGTAGACGTGTATTGCACTGGAGCAGTCAGAGCCCCCGCCTCGCGAGCGAGAGGACCCGGGTTCGATTCCCGGGCGGGTCAGGGTGAAAGGTTGGGCAAGTTTTCCTTGCTCCACGCACACACGCACACACACACACACGCACACGCACACACACGCACACACACGCCCGTGTTTACCCAGGAATAGATAGGAACCCGGTTGTTAGTCGATCGGTGGATCGCTTTCCGGGGGTAATAATCCCTCCAAAAAAAATGGGATCACTCCAATCCACGACTGTTTGTGGTGGTCGATGCTGTGCGCAAGTGGCCGCTGCGTCTCGCCCGCAAAATACACAGTCACTACACTTCACAGTGAAGCGCTTTGAGACGTCTCGAAGACACGATAAGGCGCTGTGCCGGACGCAAGGGTTACTATTACGTCGTTGATTATATTGTGTTGAACTCACCCACCACATCGGGGCCTTTGCCTCTGACCGCTCGTTCTTCCTCTCTCGCAGTAACGCGGTCTCTCGCTGGAACTATTCCCGGGAGGAGAAGCCCAGCTACGTGGCCCCCAAAGACGTGCAGCACTTCAGCTCGTCGATGCTGAACCTGCCCAAGTCTGTGGTGGAGGAGTCGCGCTACGCCTACAGGGAGCTTCGCGCCCAGGGCCAGCGACAAACCAGGGTGCAACGCACGCAAAGTGTCCCAGCGCGGGTCAAACCCACCGGACCTCGCAAACAGGCGAGGCAGGACACCGTGCTGGAGAGCGGGGAGCACGGCACGGACGACGACATGCCCACAAACCTGCCCGACAGGCTGTGCCACACCCTAACCAGACCGCCGAACTCGCTGAGATCCTCACACTCGAACAAGCCGGGCTCCATCCCTTACAGGGTGCAGGTAACCAGCGCAGTCGCCGCCGCCGCCGACAACCTCGCCGATGTCAACCACAAAACGCGCACGGTCGCAAGCGCTTTGTCGTATATTTGGCCCCCGAAACACGCGGCCGGCGGGATCGGGCGTGCGAACAGCGTGATCAGAGTCGCAGCTGAAACCCAACGAGATGATCGCACACAGGAAGTAAAAACAGGACGAGGTAGAACTTGCAAAGAAGGACACAAAGAGAGACCTGGGATGTATGTCGGTTGACTAAAGAGAAGCTAAAGCTCTTGATTCGCGCGCGAGAGAGAGAGAGAGAGACATCTCACGTAGCGCTATCCAAGACGCTAAAGGCAGAGTACTACCCATATGAGCTACGCCAAGGCCGCAGGACACCAGGACGTAGGTTCAGGGCTGAGAAGGGGAGTGTTGAGGAAGGTTTTCTTTACCCGGAGGGTAATTAACGACCAGATTATGTTACCAGACAACAATAATAATAATAATAATGATAATCCTTGCATTTGATACAGCGCCTTATCACCTCGTTGAGATGTCTCAAAGCGCTTCACAGAATATATTGTAAAGTGAAGTGACTGTGTATTGTGGGCGGTGCCAATTGCGCACAGCAGTGGCCCACAAACAGCTGTGGATCGAGTGACCGCATTTTTCTTCTTGGAGGGATTATTACCCACAGAAAGCGATCCGGTAATCGACTAACAATTAATTAGTCCCTTATTCCAAATTGATTGCGCCGTTTAATACGTGTAGTAGGAAATGTCAGAGACTGGTATTAATACGGGGAGAAGGAACAGTGGAACAGAATGCTTGATGTTTGAACTTTGTGGAGTCCTGTAGCTCAGTGGTTAGAGCACTCGCTTTGCAAGTGAGAGACCTGAGTTCAATTCCAGGCAGAGGGCGAAACCTCGGGCAAGTTTCCTTACTCCACACAGAGCCTAATAATAATCCCTCCAAAACCACAAACAATAATAAATTGGTCATTTTCAATCCACGACTGTTTGTGGGACATTGCTGTGCGCCATCGGCCGCCGCGTTCGCCCACAAATATACAGTAAATTCACTTTACAGTGTGTTCTGTGAAGCGCTTTGAGACGTCGGGAAGACGTGAAAAGCGCTGTATCAAGTGCAAGGATTATTATTAGTAGTAGTAACCACTTGAAACAAATAGATGAAGAGGGTCTTCTTCTCCTGAATCTCTCGAGTAGCTGTTTGCAGTTCCAGGGACTTGAGACCGACAAAGTTCAGGGTTGTTAAGCGGGAGCTCGTGAGGAGGTTCCATTTACAGTCTCGCACCTTGTCTTCTCTCTGACAGAAGCACACTCGCCTCATATCTGTGGACTCTATAAGAAAGTCTCACGTCCCCTGGGAGATGAACTGTGAGCAGGAAGGTGGGCCCAGGGAGCAAGTGATTGATGATTTCAAACCACATGAAAAGGTAAGTACAACTACACTGTACCCGGGGCTCTGCGCGAGTTACCACGTGTGAGGTATCACGTGCGTTGCCGAGTCCATTCACCACGTCACTGTATACGGAGGCTCTCACTGCAGTAGAATCATAGAATTGTAGAATATTACAGCGCAGGAGGCGGCTATTCGGCCCATGGTGCCTGTGCCGACTGTTTGGAAGAGCTGCCCAGTTCAATCCCACTCCCTCGCTCTTTCCCCACAGCCCTGCAAAGTTTTCCTTTCCAATTCCCTTTTGAAAGTTGTCATTGGATCAGTTTCCACCAGCGTTCCAGGCAGCGCGTTCCGGAACCGTAACAAATCTCTGCGTAAGAACATGTTTCCTCGTCTCCCCTCTGGGTTTTTTTTTTTGCCAATTGTCCGGTCACTGACCCGCAGACCAGTGAAAACAGTTCCTCCTGATCTGCGCTATCGAAACTCCTCACCTACTGTGAGGTGTTGGCTTGGCTCAGTCGGGTCGGAGTCAGAAGGTTGTAGGTTCAAGCCCCCGGGTTGGGGATGTGAGCTGGGGGTTGGGGAGCCAGTGGAGCCGGGCGAGGATGGAGGCGCAGCCGCGTACACATTCCCCCCAAAAATCTGGACGCATGGTTCCGAGATAGGACCTGCAGAGATCTGAAAGGTCCACGGCTTGTGGAAGGCAGCGAAAATATTAAGTTGCAAGGATGACTACCCGGGGGAAAACTGAGCGAGAGACGACATACATCTCGTGACCTGTAGCTCAGCGGTTAGAGCACTCGCCTCGCAAGCGAGAGGACCTGGGTTCGATTCCCGGGTGGATCAGGGCGAAACACCGGGCAAGTTTCTTTACTCTCCGCGCACACACACACCTCTGTTTAAGCAGGAACCCGGTTGTTCGTCGAATGGCGGATCGCTTTCCGGGGATAATAACCCCTTCAAAAAAATAAATAGGTAACGATCGAGACAAAAGTCCCAGCGATGTCGGGCCAGATAACAGGAAGTTTCCTCGGGGTGCCAGCCGGGTGTCTGCCACCCGCCGAAACCCATCACCGTCGCTTGACAGTCTCCAAGTTACATTGTGAATTCCCCGCATCCCACCTGCACATGGAAGTCCCAGAGATGGACTGTTGGAATGGAACGTGTTCTCTCTCTCTCTCTCTCTCTCTCGCCCTCTTTCCCTGGAGGGACGCTTCCTGCTCACCTAATTCCCGAAAGTATGAGGCGCAGGTTGGCAAGAGTTCTGAAGGGATGAGATCAGATGAGCCGAAGGGCCTTAGTCATCCAAACCCCCATCTTGCGATGAGTGCAGCGTTCAGTTATCCAGAGAGATGGAACAGATGGCAGCGTTCTTCTCTTGGGTTAGGATGATTGAGGGGGGAACCTAATCGAGGGGTTTAAGATTATAAAAGGATTCAATAAAGGGGACGTTAACAGGCTGTTGGGGAGTCCACAAATGAGGGGATGTGAGCACACCACCACTGCTAACTACAGCTCTAAACATCTGGTTTAGGAGGAACGGTTCTCTGCAGAGGGGTGTGAGAATGTGGAACTCGCTGTCAGATATTGTAGTTGAAACAGAAAGCGTCTTAAGGGGTAAAGAGGAAACTTGGTGTTAATTTGTCGCAGGAAAGAATAGCGAGTACAGGAAGGGTGGAGGCTCTTTTTTGATGTATAAATACCGACACGGACTGAGTGGGCCGAGTGACATGTGTCTCCCTCAATCCCTCGGCCTTGCCTCCTCCTTTCCCAGCTGCAGGTCGGTGTCGTGCACCCCCCCCCCCCCCCCCCATCCCACCACTGACAAGCGCTCTGAGACGCAACCCTGTGCGAGGGACGCTGTGTCAATGCAAATTGTTCTTCTGTCCATGTGGTATGTGACAATCGATGAAGAGCTTTTGGGACAATGAGTCCATTGGCCAGTGTTGGGAATGAGTGGAGCCAAGTCCCTCCATAATTAAACCTCATCGTCCGCCTGCCTGACACTATCATAGAATTATACAGAAAGGAGGCCATTCGGCCCATCGTGTCTGTGCCGGCAATTACGCTCAGTGGCCGTTTTGTTTCGACACACGCGGAAACCCATCACCGTCTTTGAGAATTCCTGAGAATTCCCTGCGTCCCACCTACTCATAAAAATCCCAAAGGTAGATCGTTGGAATGGAATGCGCTCTCTCTCTCTCTCTCTCTCTTTCTTTTTCTCTCTTTCCCTGGAGGGATGCATCCTGATTACCTAATTCCGGAGAATATTAGGCGCAGGTGGGCGAGAGCCAAGGCTTAGAGGGGGAGCCCAGAATGTGCGTTGGGGTAACTGCCGGGAGTCTAACCGGCTAAACCCACACAGAGCTCGGCCATTGAGAGCCCGGTGTGTTAGTAACTAGTGAGTATCGCTCACCAAGTCTTGGATCTTCTGGATGTTGTCTCCAGCGGCTTCCAGTTTCTCGATGTCTTTCTTCCGCTCCTCTTCAATCTTCTCCAGTCTGTAAGAACAAGGAATCCCATCAACAACAACAGCAACATCTTGCATTTATAACGATAATCATCCTTCGCCTCAGAAGATGTCTCAAAGAGCTTCGCAGAGCATATGTATCGGAAATTGCCGCGACGGTATCTAATAGTAATAATAATCCTCGAGTTTGCTGTCGCGCCTTATCACGTCTTCGAGATGTCTCAAAGCGCTTCGCAGAATATACTGTAAAGTGTAGCGACTGTGTATTTGTGGGCAAAACGCGGCTTCCAATTGCCACAAACCACCATGGAATGAGTGGCCAAATGTTTAATTTAATTTAATTTTTTCGGGGGGGTGCGGGGAGGAGGGATGATTACGCCCCGGAAAGCGACTAACAACCAGGTTCCTACTTACTGCTGGATAAGCAGAGGGGCGCGCGTGTGTGTGTGTGTGTGTGGAGTAAGGAAACCTGCTTAAGGTTGACCCGCCTGGGAATCGAACCCAGGTCTTCTCGCTTGCGAGGCTTTGACAGCGCTCCCGACCCACCGCTCCTATCCTCTCCTGCCATTCCCCTGCTCGATGCCACGGCAGCGACGCCTGACGGAAGCGCTTAGAACTGTTGGTGTGAATGCCCTGATCGACCAGGCCTCCGCTGCGCAGGTGCTATCTCTTTGCTCCAGCGCAGCTACGAGCTTCGCTGTCTACCTGCGTAGTTCCTTTATCTGCTGCTCCTTTTCCTCCAGCTGAACTCGCTGCTTGTCCTCACTCTCCCGCAGCACTCGCTCCACGTACTCCTCCATCTGCTTCTCAAAGCGTTTCTGCTTCTCACAAATGGCCTCGAGTTTCTCCTTCAGCTGACTGATCTCATGCTCGTGCTGGGGGCAGAGAGCGATCATCACCATCACCACCATCATAGCATTCGATACAGCGCCTTGCCACGCCTTCGAGACGTCTCAAAGCGCTTCGCGGAACAGACTGCAAAGTGGAGTGACCGCGTATTTTGTGGGTGAAACGTGGCAGCCGATTGCCCACGGCAGCGTCCTACAAACAGTCATGCATTGAAGTGACCAAAAGAAAGACGAACCAAAGCTAATGTTACACTTTGGCCGATGTTGAGGGACGAGGAAGGAATTGGCTGAAGTAAAACGGGAGGAATTCCGGACGGTAAACCTCCCACCGAGCCCTGGGATCGCTTCAGAGATGATTAATGCTGTAGGAAACGCTGGCCTGGTTTTGGAGAACGCCAGTCAGGCCTTATTTGGACGACTTGTGTTGAGGTTTGGACAGCTAATAATAATAACCCTTGCATTTACACAGACACCCCCCGTCACAGATCAGGTTGTTGTTCTTGTTTACCACGGCTAGTGCTGGCCTGGGGTGGCAGTTTATCCTGTAAATAATCCCTTTCCTCTGATTTTGTCCCAGCCTACGGGGATAAGCAAGTGAAATTGGCCCTTGTCCTGTTCCTGGTAAGTGCTTGACCCTTTGAGGTGGGACTCTGTGTTCCTCTTTTACCTGATTTTACCTGCTCCTCAGCCCTTTAACTTGTGTGTGCAGTTTTTTTCCATCTGTGTGTGTGCCTGTCTGTCTGTGTGTGTGTGTGTGCGCGCGCCTGCCTGGCTGTGTGTGTGTGTGTCTGCCTGTTTGTATGTGTGTAGCTGTTTGTGTATTTGTGTGTGTGTGCGCCTGTTTGTGTGTGTGTGCGCGCCTGTGTGTATGGGTGTGCGCCTGTTTGTGTATGCATGTCTGTGCGCGTATGTATGTTTGTGTGTGTGTGTGTTTGTTTGGGGTGTGCATGTCTGTCTGTCTGCGAGTGTGTGTGAGCGCCTGTGTGTGCAGGAGCCTGGGGTATGTGTGTACACACTGGGTTTGTGTGCAGTAACCAGTGTTCGCTGTGACTGTAATCTCCGCTCTTTCCTCCAGTTCTGCCAGATGGGAAACTTCTCCATCCACGTGGCTCTGAGAAACCTGCGGCCCCCGGGTGAGAGTCAGCGTGAGGCGCTTGATTACCCCCCTCCCCTCTGCCCCTCCGTTACCCTCCTCCCTGCCCCCGGTTACCCTCCTCCCTGCCCCCAGTTACCCTCCCCGCCCTGCCCTCCCCGCCCTGCCTTTCTGTGAAGCGCTTTGAGACGTCTCGGAAGACGTGATAAGACGCTATATCAAATGCAAGGACTATCTTTACTATTAATATATCACTGTAAGGCAGAGTCCTCCACTCGCTCCTGTCCTCCACTCTTTCATGAGCAGGAGTAGCTGATGATCTGTCTCGTTCTGTTTTCAGGCTCAAAGACCCGCAGGATTCCTTTGCCAACAAAGAACCCGTTCACCTGGCTCTTCATTTTTGTCTCATGTCCAAACTACACGTATGAGGTGAGTCGCTGCTCGGAGAGAAATGCGGGCAGAGAGTCGTTGTGGGCAGAGCACAAGGTCCTATAGTGGAGTGGTTAGCGCTCTCACCTCGCCAGCGAGGGGAACCCAGGTTCGATTCCCGGGCAAGGGCTAAACGTTGGGCAAGTTTCCTTACTCCACACGCACGCGCCTCTGTTTACCCAGAAGTAAGTAGGAACCCGGTTGTTAGCTGATTGGCGAATCGCTTTCCAGGGGTAATAATCCCTCTTCAAAAAAAAAGCAAATAATAATAATTTGGTCACTCAATCCATGACTGTTTGTGGGGCCCTGCTGTGCGCAATTGGCTGCCGTGTTCCTCCCACAAATTACACAGCCACTCCACTTTACATTCGTGAAATGACGTTACATGACGTGATAAGGCTCTGTATCAAATGCAAGGATTATTAATTATTATTATTGTCAAAACACGGACTGGAGTTTTTATTTGTTTGGGTTTTTTTGGTCAGCTGAGTGTCAGAGCCACGTGGAAACCATGCTTACGAGTGTCAAAACCAGGCGGAGTTCCACATCGCCTCCGCCACCTACACATGGCTGTGAGCTGGTTGTTTTTTTTGTGTGTGGGCCTTTTGACTGCGAGACTGCGCTTGAGGAATGTTCACAAAGTCCCGTTACATCCCCCCCCCACGTTTTTCTTCTACCATGCACTGACCGACCACTGAAACGTGTGGAAGAATGATGATCATCGTAACTAGAAGCGAGACAATTGTATTCAGTACCAATCGGTGCGCGTGAGTGAGCGAGCCATCGTGGTCACGGCAGATAATGATCCGTCTCCATGTTTGGTGCGACATCTTGTGTAACACAGACACTGTTACGCTCGACTCAAATAAACATTCACTGTAAGGGGGGAAAAAAACACAAGGGGGGGGGGTTGGTAACAGGACTTTGTGAACACCCTGTAGGTACAGGCAGATCAGGGAAGCTTGTAGAGGAAAAACAAGTCAGAGATTTTTAACTCGATTCCGATTACAATTTATATCATTTACATTTACGCAGCGCCTTTGATGTCGGGAGGACGCCTCAAAGCGCTCGACACTGCTGGCCGGGCACCAGCGCTGGGGGTGGGAATAGCCCATCATAATAATAATAATCCTTGAATTTGATATAGCACCTTATTATGTCATTGAGACGTCTCCCAAGCAAAGTATGGCAAAGTGGAGTGACTGTGTATTTTGTGGCGAAAATACAACAAAGCTACCAGTGGAAAAGGCAGTTCATTTCTCGAACGAACGCCAACTGGATACTTTTCTGAACCATCATGTGTTATTACCCACAGGGAAGCAGGCCAGCCAAACATGGCTTCATTCTGATGAGCAATTAGCCAGGAATAGTCAGCTTAATGGACGTCTTGGGAACAGGGAGAGTAATATGATTGAATTCAGTGTCGGGCTTGAAGGAGAGAGAGAGAGCGAGAGCAGAAAGACGAACCAAAGCTAATGTTACACTTTGGCCGATGTTGAGGGACGAGGAAGGAATTGGCTGAAGTAAAACGGGAGGAATTCCGGACGGTAAACCTCCCACCGAGCCCTGGGATCGCTTCAGAGATGATTAATGCTGTAGGAAACGCTGGCCTGGTTTTGGAGAACGCCAGTCAGGCCTTATTTGGACGACTTGTGTTGAGGTTTGGACAGCTAATAATAATAACCCTTGCATTTGATACAGCGCCTGATCATGTCTTAGAGACGTCTCAAAGGGCTTCACAGAATATACTGTAAAGCGAACTGACCGTATATTTTGTGGGTGAAACCCAGCAGCCAATTGCACACAGCAGCGTCCCCACAAACAGTCGTGGATTGAAGTGACCAAATTTTTTTCGGTAATGCAGAAAGGGCAGGGGTGGGGGGAGTAGAACAAGATGGTTTTTCTCTGAAACGAGACGTAAAGGAGCTTACCGTTGGCTAGCCAGCATGTGTTCCCTCAGCGAGTGGTCTCTGACACTGAGCTGTGCTATGTTAGGAAGGATATGTTGGCCTCAGAAGGGGTCCAGTGATGATTCACAGATTAATCGCTGAAATCAACAGGTTCAGCTGTGCCGAGAGGCTGGGTTCGCTTTGGCTTCTGTTCCCCAGAGCTGAGAAGGTTAAGTAAAGGGTTGATCCGATTGAGGCGTCTGAACTAATGGAGGGAATTCAGGAGCTGGATACTCTTCAAAACGATTCAAAACAGGGCGACATCAGTGATTAAATAATAACCATAATCCTTGGATTTGGTACAGCGCCTTATCCCATCGTTGAGATTCTCAAAGCGTTTGGCAAAATATAATGTAAAGTGAATTGACTGCGTATTTTGCGGGCAAACAGCCATGAAGTGAGCGACCAGTTTGATTTGGGGGATTGTTGGCCGGGACACTGGGAGAGAGAGAAAAAGTCCCTTTTCTTTTCCAAATAGCGCTACGGGACCTTTAGGGTCTATCCAGGCAGACAGACAAGGTGCGTGTGGGTGGGTGGGTGTCGGTTGCTGTGCCGGTTAAATTGACTGCTGCTTTCTCTCTCTCTCTCTGTGCAGGTCGGGTCGTGGATTGGCTTCACTCTGATGACTCAGTGTCTACCAGGTGAGGGACTTTATTGTTCAGTCATTTAACAGTTGAGGAGGGGTGGAGGTGTTGGTGGGGGGGAGTTGGCTGCGCTGTCATCTCCAGTGCCCTGGTACAGACTAGAGAGCTTGAAAAAGTAAGAACATATTTGCCTGCTCTTCGGGTAGATGTCAAAGGAGTCCTGCAGTGTTGTGGTTAGAGCACTTGCCTCGCAAGCAAGAGGACCCGGGTTCGATTCCTGGGCAGGGCAAAACCTCGGGTAAGTTTCCTTACTCCACACACGCGCCCCTGTTTCCCCAGCAGTAAGTAGGAACCCAGTTGTTAGTCGATTGGTGGATGGCTTTCCCGGGGGTAATAATCCCTCCAGAAAAAAAACAGAAATAATAATCATTCGTTTGGGTGTAAAATGACTTGCTGTGTTTGCACACAAAATGTCACTACAATTGTCAATATGGACTGACACGGTTCTCTCTCTCTCTTTCTGTCTCTCTCTCTCTCTCAGTTGGCTTGTTCTCGCTGGTCGGTTTCATCCAGATGACGATCTGGGCGAAGGGCAAACACCGCAGTTACATGAAGGATTTCCGTGATTACCCTCCTCTGCGCTCCGCCATCATCCCCTTCCTATTGTAGGTCCCATGTCACAAGCACGAGGCTCTGCTGACTAATCCCTCCCTCCCTCCCCGTTCCGTACCCACCCCATCTCCCTCTATCCCTGCTCTAAGCTGATCCATCGTGAGGGGTAGCACACGGTTAGTGCATCTAATATCCTCCTCTCTTTCTCCCCCCCCCCCCCCCCCCCCACCCTCTCACTGCCTCTTAGCGTGCATACCGTGTGCTGCCGTTTCCCCTCCCACTCTGCGTGTGTTAGCAGCTCTGTTCCCCCCCCCCCACCACCACCACCACCCCATCCTCCCAAGTTATCCCAAAAGGCACCCTCCTCCCCTCCCGGTGTCACTCGGGTCAGGTTCCGCGGTGTTGGTCAGAGGGAAGGAACGGTGGTGAGAGACGAGTTACGAATCACAAGTCCGCTTTGTCCCATTGAGCATGTGTGAGCCGGTCCCCAATCCGCGTGTGCAGGGCCTTCAGGCTGTCGCCCCCACTGTCCGTGAGGTCCTGGTGAAGTGCCGGGGGTTTAGCACTGTTATAAAGGGGGGGGCGTTGGGTTGCGTGGCATTGCGACAGCTGCCCCGAGGCTCCTGTGTTGGAGTTCCTGTAGTGACTGTAGCCTGAGTGAACCTGCCCCATCTCTGTGTGTTGTACGATACGCAGTAATAGAGAAATCAGATTGCAGAAGGGAAAGCGCTCAGTAAAATGCTCTGACAAATGTGCAGCGTCTGCAATTCTTCAGTACGTCGAGTTGTTGTGAGTAATGTGTGTGTGGTGTCTGCGTCTGTGTGTTGTCTGTGTGTGGTCTGTCTTGTGTGTGTGTGTGTGTGTGTTTGATGCCAGCTCAGTGTGGTTGTGTGTGTGTTGTGTCTGCGTACGTCGTGTTTTGTGTGTGTGTGTGTGTGTGTGTGTTTGATGCCAGCTCAGTGTGGTTGTGTGTGTGTTTGCTTGCATGCGTGACACATGCCAGCTCTGTGTTCATGAGTACCTCTGTGTCATTCCACGCCAGACCCACTCCCTCACCATTCCCACCCGTCGAATGGGTCATTTGAGACATAACAAAGTGCAGTGTGGTTTAGAAGGACCAGGCAACTGTGGATCTACGGTTCCCAATGCTTTCTACTCTTTTTGTAGACTAATCCATACAGAATTAATTGCTGTCAGTATGATAACTACCAGAATGGTAAAAGCGAACTAGATGGAACTTGGGTCTTTTTTTTGTCTAGTAATTCCTATATTCCTAATAACTAGTGCTGAGCTCAGTGGTTGGAGCGCTCGCCTCACAAGCAAAAGGCCCCGGTTTCGATTCCCGGGCAAGGCAAAACTTTAGGCAAGTTTCCTTACTCCACACACACACACGCCAATGTTTACCCGGCAGTAAGTAGGAATCCGGTTGTTAGTCGATTGGCAGATTACTTTCCGAGGGTAATAATCCCTTCAATTTAATCCATAATAATAATTTGGTCACTCAATCCAGGAATGTCCGTGGGACGCTGCTGTACGCAATTAGCTGCCGCATTTCTCACACAAAATACATTTTACAGTATTATATTCTGTGAAGCACTTTGAGACGTCTCGACGACATGATAAGGTGCTATGTCAATTGCAAGGATTATTATTATTAATCAGGTCTGGTTTAGATCTGCACCTGCCTGCGCTCGGCAGCGTGGGTTCCACAAACACCAGGGACTGCAATGATCTCATGCCACAGCTGGGAAAGAGAAGAGAAGCGAGTTTCTCCTGATGTCCTGGCCAACAAATCTTTCGGATAAATCATTCATTCACTTGTGGGACGATGGCTGTGCACAAATTGGCTGCCACTTTTGTTTACAAATACATAGTCAGTGCATCTTACAGCAGTGAATTTCCTGTGAACCTCAAACTGTTTCGACGTTCTCGGTGCTGTATCCACAGAAAGGGTTATTTATGGGAATCAAAAGATCGGTTTGGACGATAAGAACGTTTGTCCCGGCTGATCTCATCACGTCTAAAAGATTCGCCCAACTGCGCCCCCATCACAGCATCGAGCTGCTTTTTAAACGAGTCCCAGCGCCCTGGCCTCAACCCGCGCCCCCCCCCCCCCCCACCAGTCCTGGCCACCCTGTTCCAGTCGTTAATTACCCTCTGGGTAAAGAAACACTTCCTGGTGTCTGTCCTGAAATCGCCCCTTTGCAAATGTAACCCCGTGGCCTCTTTACTGTCTCGTTGCGGCTGAAAGATTTCATCCGGGTTTAATTTTTCAATCCCATTTACAAAGTTACACCCCTCGAGAAAGGTCCCCTCTGAGATGTTTTCACTGAAGACTGAAGAGAGGAGTAGGTGGTGGCGGAGGAGAAAAACATAACGGAACACAGAAAAACAGGAGATACGCCAGTTACTTTATTAACAGCAAATATTTTTGTGAAACGCAAATGCATTCGGATAATAACAGTAAAAGATTTTGCGACAGGAAAATTGAAAGAACGGAAGGATTTCTTTCGCATTAAAAATGCCGCCCCGCGGAACCATTTACATCCCTCGCCGATGGCATTAACCACCCCTGCAAGCAGTGAGTATGACCGCGAGCACAATATCTCTGTGCAAGATAGAATTATTTTACAACCGCAGATATTTACAGCGCAGAAGAAAGCCACTCAACCCGTTTCGCCCACGAAATACACAGTCGATTTCTCTTTGCATTCTGTGAAGCGCATCGAGACATCTCGGGAGACCTGATAAGGCCCTGTATCAAATGCAAGATTTATTATTATTATTATTATTATTATTATTATTATTGTCGTGTCTGCCGTGTTGAACGGGACCCATCTTGAAAAATTCTTAAAGGCTAATCTTAATTTGGAAAAATAAAAATAACTACAGAATTATCGGATTGCCAATTAAAATAGGAAAATAGGACATTTCACCACCGCCCCCGTAAACACACACACCTACGCACACACCTACATACACTCACACGCAACTCACACACACACACACACCTACATACACATACACACCTACATACACTCACACGCAACTCACACACACCACACACGCCTACACACCTACATACACTCACATGCAACTCACACACACCTACATACACTCACACGCAACTCACACACACACACACCTACATACACATACACACCTACATACACTCACACACAACTCACACACACACACCTACATACACTCACACGCAACTCACACACATACACACCTACATACACTCACACACAACTCACACACAGAGAAACGCGGAATCCAATTATCTGAATTGTCAGACAATTGTGAATTGTTGGCCAGACACTCTTTTTGAATGGTGGGCTCTTTAACATCCATCTGAACAGATGTAATACGAAGAATAATCCTTGCATTTGATATTGTTGCCCAGAACTCGAGAGAGAGAGAGAGAGAAACTCCCCTCTCTTGGGAACTTTGACATGCACCTGAACAGTCTCTGGCAAAGGGTGTCACCTCCGACAACGCCCTCTCCTCCCACCACCCCCAGAACTGCGCTGGAATGTCAGCCCAGACATTGTGAGCTTAAAGTCCCTTTTCGAATAGTCGATGTACAAATAGTCCTGCAGACAAATCATTCCTGTGCCGCTGAATGTATTCTGTTCCGACTAACTAAACGGGTAATGTTTCCTGTGACTGTGGAGGAGGTTGTTATACTGGGGCTCCTGCAGATGTCTTGTCAATTGCTGGCTCTTGCCTACCCAGGCCTCACAGCCCCACCAGGAGTGTGCGCTGTATCTCACCGGGAGGGGTGTAGAGCGGGTGGTTGATGTAATACGCCAGCCAGGCTGCGAAACCCCAATAGTAGGTGCAATTCTGGAGAAGAAAACGTGATCAATAATTATATTCCTTGCATTGATATAGCACCTTATCACGGTGTTGAGACGTCTCAAATCTTCACAGAACACACTGCAAAGTGTAGTGACTGTGTGTTTTGTGGGCGAAATGTCGCAGCCAGTTGCGCACAGCAGCGTCCCACAAAGAGTTGTGGATTGAAGTGACCAATTTATTATTGGTCACACGACTAACAACCGGGTTCCTACTTACTGCTAGGTAAACAGAGGCGTGTGGAGTAAGGAAACTTGCCTAAGGTTTTGCCCTGACCGGGAATCGAACCCGGGTCCTCTCGCTTGTGAGGCGAGTGCTCTAACCACTACAATACAGGACTCCACAGTCCACTGAGGCAATATTGACTTCTGAGTCCATTAACTCCGCACTAGCTCCAGTGATTAGAAAGGAAAACTGCCTGGAATGCGGAGAACACTGTAGTTCAGATCTGCAAACGCAGTGGGCAGGTCACAGACACAGTTTATTATGTCAGTCACGTTCATTGCAATTCTTCTATTTACTTTCCAGCCCCGACTATTTTTGACTGTATTTTCCACGCCTGTTAGGCAATAAAAGGTTTTGATGAATAAAATCCAGGAAGGTCGGTGACTGGTAGACTGACGGGATGTCCCAGGAGAAATTATCTCTTACAATGAACCATAGAATAGTAAATGAAACAATTCAAATGCCATTCAAGTATACTGTAGTCCCAGGGCGGTGTGATGCATTGTGTAAATCTGAGGACAAGAGGACAGAGAGAGAGCGAGAGAGAGAGAGAGAGAGAGAGAGAGAGCACGAAAAAGACAAAAGGGGAGATAAAACAGAGCGAGAGACTGAGGGCGAAAGAAAGTGAGCAAGAAAAAGCCAGAAGAGGGGAATAAAACAGAGCAAGATTGAGAGGGCGAGAGAGAGAAAGGAAAAGACACCGGTCCGGGGGAGGGCAGGGGTAAACGAGAGAGAGACTTAATGTATGTCATATGGCACGACCTGGCTTCAGGATATGAGTTTAGAGCACAGTGTGGGTTGGGGGGGTGGGGGGAGGGTGAGACAGCTCTGTAACCAACCAGTGCCTGAAACTGTGCTGATTGCTTTGGTGGTTCAGGTAACATAGCCAAGCCCAGAGCTCACTAGGCTGGTAACATAGCCAAGCCCAGAGCTCACTAGGCTGGTAACATAGCCAAGCCCAGAGCTCACTAGGCTGGTAACATAGCCAAGCCCAGAGCTCACCAAGCTGGTAACATAGCCAAGCCCAGAGCTCACTAGGCTGGTAACATAGCCAAGCCCAGAGCTCACCAAGCTGGTAACATAGCCAAACCCAGAGCTCACCAAGCTGGTAACATAAAATTGCCAGCCATTGCCCTGGACCTCAGAACACCCGTTTGTGGAAAAAACATGGCAGCCAATTGCGCACAGCAGTGTCCCACAAACAGTCGTCGGTTGAGTGATTGCATTTTTTAAAAGAAAATTGGGAGGGATTATTATCCCCCGGAAGGTGATCCGCCAATCGACTAACAACCTCTTACTGCTAGGTAAACAGAGTCTTGTGGGGTAGGAAAACTTGCCTAAAGTTTCGCCCCGCCTGAGAATTCAACCCGGGTCCTCTCGCTTGCGGAACGAGTGCTCTAACCACTGAGCTACAGGTCTCCACAAGTTAGGGAAGATTTACCTTAAATATATTCCGAAAGGGCATCGTCCCGTGGGAGAAGCGATGGACAAACAGCGTCTCCAGCAGCCTCTTGATGTAGTGGAAGGAATGACAGGCACAGGCCAGGCTGCCAGGGAGAGACCGGTGTTAATCCCACATTCCAGCCTCAACACAAAGGAACAGGAGGCCATTCAACCCCTCGTACCTATTCCGCCAGTCTATAAGATCATGGCCGATCTGTACCTCAAGTCCGTTTACTTGTCTTTGCCCCATATCCCTTGATACTCTGACCTAACAAATATCTCTCCACCTCGACCTTGAAAATGTTAATGGATCCAGGTTCTACAGCCTTCTGGGGATATAGCACCTCATCATGTCTTTGAGAAGTCTCAAAGTGTTTAACTGAATATTGTAAAGTGAATTGACTGTGTATTTTGTGGGCGAAACGCAGCAGCAGCCAATCGTTCACAGCAGTGTCCCACAGTCGTGGACTGAGTGACCACATTATTTTTTTTGAGGGATTATCAACCCCAGAAAGCGATCTGCTAATCAACGAATGGTCTACTCCTGACCCTAACGCAAACGCAATCGGACGTCAAACCACTTACTGGCGTTGATGAACACTCCCCTTTTTCTGCATCTCTCTCCTAACCCTAATCTCACCTAATACTAAGAAGACGCTGCCATCCTCCACACTCTGCCATCCTCCACACTCTGCACACACAGTCCCAGACACTGCTAGGCTAGGCTGGAGCTGAGCGGCAATGTTGTGGCTCTGTTCGGGTCAGCCGGGTGTCGGACAAGCGGAAACCCATCACCACGCTTCATAGTATCCAAAACAGACAGAGTTCCATATGTTTGCCACCTACGCATGGAAATTTCCGTGGGTCTGGAATGGAATGTGCATTCTCTCTCTCTCTTTCGCTCTCTCTCTCTCTTTCCTCTCTCTCTCTCGAGCCCTGCTTACCCAATTCTGGAGATTAGGTGCAAGATGGTAAGAGCCAAGGATTGGCAACCAAGAACCCATCTCCACTGGTAGTTGATTTTTAAATTCCTCCCCTCCTCCCCAGCAATACTGTGCTTCCAACTGCTTGTCCAGCTAGGACCACCCTACCCGTTAGGGCTTTGGCTGCAGGGTTAACAGGAGCTGAGTGAGAGGATTCCCTGCCCCAAGGGACTGGTCGGCCCTTCCAGGTCCTGCCGATGAGCCAGGCCGGGCTGTGCTGTCATCAGCAGTGTGGGCTTCACAGGACCATCCCCCACTCACCCACCTCAGGAGCCACTGTAATGGGTTTCCCCATTTACTGACGGAAAGCCGGCAACTCTTGACAGCAGGTCAGGGTCTCACTTACTGCACGACAGAGTAGGGGCTGGAAGTGAAGGCATGTTTATTGCCGTAGATGAACGGGAGTCGGAAATAGAAGAGGAGATAGATGAGGAGCGGCCCTGCGTACTCCGTCAGAAACACCTGAAAAATACACACACATATCAGCTGGGCCCGAGACAGCGACTGACGAGTGAGCGCGCACACATACAAAAACACACACAAAACACACACACACACACACAAAATTCAAACGCACAAAAATGCACACACACAAACAAAAATCATACACACATAAACACATGGACACACATAACCAAACACACACACACACACACATCTCCTAAACTGCCCTGCCCCCACACTCATCACCCACGCTAATAAATCGCATTTGTACAAATACACCATTGCAGGAATTCCCTTAATAGAGGAATGCGCGCGCGCGTGTGTGTGTATATGTGCATTGGAATTTAGCTAAACTACACAGCTTCCCACTGCCTTTGCGGTTAGGGCCACCCTACCCATTAGGGCTTTGGCTGCAGGGTTAACAAGAGTTGAGTGGGATGATTCACTGCTCTCAATGACTGGTCTGTCCTTCCAGGTCCTGTCGATGAGCCAGGCCGGGCTGCGCTGGAATATTGCTCAGGAACTGGACTAGAGACCGTCACAGCACAATATTCCAACAAGGTCAGGTCAGTCCGTCAGCCACCGGTGACATAACATAAGAATTACTAGAAGAAAGATGACCAAGGTTCACCCTCCTGGTCTTCCACCATCCTCCTGGCCGTCACATGCACGTGTCATGTCCCAAACCATATCCTGCTTCTAATTTGCTTTTGAAAGAATCCTCCTTTCCTTCAGAGGATCCAGTTCAAGATCCTGGTCCTCACCTACAAAGCCCTCCATGGCCTCGCCCCACCCTGCCTCTGCGACCTAACCCCCTACCAACCCGCCCGCTCCCCCCGCTCCGGCCTGCTCCACGTCCCCCGACCCAACCGTCCCATCATTAGTGGGAGAGTCTTCAGCCACTCTGCCCCCAACCTCTGGAATTCCATCCCCCAGTCACTCCACCTCGCCCCCTCCTTAGCCTCATTCAAGTCCTGCCTCAAGACCTTCTCTTTGCCATCGCTCACCCCCCTTCACCTCCCCTCCCTTCTCCCCCCCGACCCCAGCTTGGGTCTGTAACGTTGTACACTGTCCAGCGCCTTGGGACATCTTCCCGATGTGAAAGGCGCTATACAAATGTAATCTTGTTGTTTCAGAAACTTTCTGCTTCCACCTGGGGAACCTGTTCCATACATTTACCACTCGTTCACTGAAATAGTGTGATATCTGTATTAGTTACTGTATAAACCTATTGGTTCTTTAGCCTCCCCCAGACTTACCGTGACCCATCCAATCTGAGCCCCCAGGTCCTTGAAGTACAGAGTAGCGGTTGTACCAACGGGCAGATTCTGTAGTATATCCTCATCCTTCAGCATTGCCCCCTCTGCAACCAGGACATAGACAGCAACATTAGCCTCTAAACTACAGGGCATTCTGTACACGTAACACACAGACACAGCCTCGAGCGCGTACACACACACACCCCTTGACACATCCCTCGACACACACACACCCCCCCCTCGAGACACACACACCCCTTGACACACGCACACACACACACCCCTCGTCACACACACAGCCCTCGACACGCGCACACACTTATGGTTTTTGCAACCCCTGTGTCGCGCACCGAGCTGGCCTGGACCACCCTCCCCCCACCCCTCTGTTCCCAGCACAGTATCTGCCAGTGGATCAGACTTACTGGGATCCAGCCTGATGGACTGCCTGGCAGGGTACCAATGAGTGTCTGAAAAGAACGGAGACAATAGCATTGATGACCATTTCATCTCCGAGACGTCTCAAAGCTTCACAGGAAGGTATGCACGCCCACAAAATATTGTCAATTCACTTTATATATACTCTGTGAAGCGCTTTGAAACGTCTCGAAGACGAGATAAGAGAGAGAGGGAGGGAAGAAGTAAGGGAGAGGACATGCACAGATACACAAAACTGCACACACACAACCCCCCCTATACCCCACTGTTACAGACAGAAACACACTCACCAACACACACAGATGGAGACACAGCTTCATACTCACGGATTTTATGGAACATAGCCTTGATCTCCCCGATAGTGGCATTTGGCTCTACCTGTAAAATAGTAATAAACAGTCCTTACATTTGGTATCACACCTTCCATGGCAGGAGGAGGGTTGGTCGGCAGTGCAGTGTGATGGGCAGTGAGGCTGGCAAAGGGGCTAGACCACGGCAGGGTGGCCAGCAATGGGGAACAACAACAACAAAGGACATTTGGAGTCCTGTAGCTCAGTGGTTAGAGCACTCGCTTTGCAAGCGAGAGACCTGAGTTTAATTCCCGGCAGAGGGCGAAACCTTGGGCAAGTTTCCTTACTCCACACAGAGCCTAATAATAATCCCTCCAAAACCAAAAACAATAATAAATTGGTCATTTTCAATCCACGACTGTTTGTGGGACATTGCTGTGCGCAATTGGCTGCCGCGTTCGCCCACAAATATACAGTCAATTCACTTTACAGTATATTCTGTGAAGCCCTTTGGGACGTCCTCCCGACGTGAAAAGCGCTATATCAAATGCAAGGATTATTATTATTATTATTATTTACACAGCACCTTGCACAGCACTCCGTGAAGGAGGGAACGAGACAGAATAATAATAATTATTATTATCAGAAGGACATGATTGGGGAGGGAGGGACAGAAGGAGGAAGTCTTTCTGCCACCACCGGTTGGAACCCCATCCCAACAATGAGATGTCTCAAAGCTCTTCACAGAATAACATTACTAATCCTTGCATTTGATACAGCGCCTTATCACCTCTTCGAGACAACAACTTGGATTTATATAGCGCCCTCCACAACGGACGGTGTCTCTGAGCGCTTTACAGAAACGGATCCCGGGACCGAGCCGGGGGGGAGTGGGGAAGGTGGGAAGGTGACCAAAGGCGTGGTCGAAACGAAAGGTCTTCAGCAGAGACCTGAAAATGGGAAGGGAGGGAGGGAGCGAGACGAAGGGAGTGAGTTCCAGAGCCTCGGGGCATAGTGGCTGAAAGCACGGCCGCCGAAGGTGGAGAGGACTCGGAGGAGGCCAGACCCGGAGGAACGAAGGCAACGGGTACTGTTTTGAGGAGCGAGGAGGTCAGAGAGGTCGGGGGGGTGCAGAGAGTGCAGGGACTTGAATACAAGGGTGAGGATCTCGAAATCGATCCTCTCTGGGACAGGCAGCCAGTGCAGTCTGGCCAGGACTGGGGGGATCGGGGAGCGGAGTTTTGTGAGTTTCGAGACGTCTCAAAGCGCTTCGCAGAATATACTGTTAAGTGAATTGATTGTATAATTTGCGGGCGAAACGCGGCAGCCAATTGCGCACAGCAGCGTCCGTACAAACAGTCGTGGATTGAGTGACGAATTTTTAATCCTTAAAACATTTTTTTGAAGGAATTATTACCCCCAGAAAAGTGATCCGCCGATCGACTAACAACCGGGTTCCTACTTACTGCCGGGTCAACAGAGGCGTGTGTGGAGTAAGGAAACTTGCCCAATGTTTCGACCTGCCGGGAATCAAACCCAGGTCCTCTCACTTGCGAGGCGAGTGCTCTAACCACTGAGCTACAGGACTCCAATATAAAGTGAATTGACTGTGTATTTTGTTTGTGTCAAAGCGGCAGACAACTGCACACAGCAGTGTCCCACAAACATGGGATGGGGGGTATGGAGCAGGCTGGAGAGGGGTAGGCAGTGGGAAGGGAGCATGGCTAGCGCGAGCGGGGGGTGGGGGGAGGGAGAGAAGCTGGACTTTCCAAGCTCGTGCCAGTGACCAGCACCTGACACATAGGCACACACACGTAGATGGGAGTTTTCAAATCTATCCTCTCCCAATGAGTCCCACAACCTTTTCATATCAGCGTGAATCATGTACCAAGGGAGCAGATTCCACAGCCCGACACAGAGCAAGCAAATGGCTGTAAGAGGAGAGGTGAAAGTCGTGCGAATCTTACTATGCACCTGCTACAGCCTTCGTCTCTCAGCAGCAGGACACTGGATACTGAACCCATGAAATCACACACACGCAACAAGGTTACAAGGTACAGCTCTGTGCCTCCCTGACCAGTCGCTGGGGGTAGGGAGTCATCCCACTAAGCTCCTGCAAGCCAAAGCACAAATGGGTGGGGTTGTCCTAGCTGGACGAGCAGCGGGAAAGCTTGTGAGACAGAAATATCAATGGCAAGCTATGCGGTTTTAGCTGGTCAGACTCCAAGCAGTTACCTTAACGCACACTCTGGGATCCCCCCCAAGCCTTGGCTTTCGCCAACCTGCGCCTAATGCATTTGGGAATTAGCTAAGCAGATGTGTCCCTCCAGGGGGAGAGAAAGAGAGAGAGAGAGAGGGTATTCCATTCCAACAATCTGTCACTGGGATTTCCATGTGTGGGCGGGATGCAGGGAATTCTCAGTTGGGTTTGCAAACTCTTAAGCAACGGCGATGGGTTTCTCCATGTGTCAGACACATGGCTGACAAAAAAAAAACATGGCGACAGATCATTATTTGCCTTGAAAATTATGGCGCTCACACACACACACACCACACTCATCCTCTAGACGTCTAAACAGTTAAACACTTGGACTGAACACAATTAAGTAACTTCTAAACACAATTCTCATCAGTCTTCCACACGTTTCAGGTGTTGGGTCAGTGCACGACAGGAAAAATACATGGGGGTGACAGGACTTTGAGGACACCCTGTAGATTTCTCGTCTGGACTCAGCCTCAGCTCCTGGAAGCTAAAGTGCAGAACAACAGGGCTGAGTGAGGAGGGAAGTGATGCTGAATGTGGAAGTGGATTCATCTGTAGGACAATTCTGCTTTGTCACCGTTTCTTCGGGCAGCGGAAACAGTGCTGTGGGTGGTAATAATAATAATCCTTGCATTTGATATAGCGCCTTATCACGTCGTCGAGATGTCTCAAAACGCTTCACTGGATATACCGTACTGTAAAGTGGATTGACTGTGAATTAGTAATAAGGAGTAAGGAAAATTGCCTTGGGTTTTGCCCTGCCAGGTAATCGAACCCGGGTCCTCTCGGTTGCGAGGCGAGTGCTCTAACCACTGAGCGACAGGACTCCACAACATGTCGTCTGCAGGCAGGGCAGCACGGCTCCCAATGCACTAGACCAGGGAGTGAAGCTTACAGCACACAGCGATCCCATCCTGTGCCTTGCCTTCCACCACAACACTGGTCATCACATTCTGACACACACACAGACACACACATAGGCTGCAGAGGACGTCATTGATTCTTACAATAGAGAGATCTGTGTGAGGCACAATGGGAATCTTTGTCTATTGATCACAATGGCCCAGTGCTGGACTCTCTCCGTACAGGATGTCCTCGTGAGTCAGAAAACAACAACTCAAGAACCTGGGTCAAGGTCAGGCTCGTGCTAGTGGCCTGACCTAATGGTTCACTCGCAACTACAACAACAACTTGCTTTTGCGCCCCGCCCCTCACTCAGGGTAGCGTCCCGGAGCGCTTGACGGTGGCGGAGCATGAAGCCGAGCCGGGGGGAGGGGGAGGTGGCTGTAAGCATTTTCGAAAGCGAAGGACTTCAGGCATGACCTAAAGAAGGGGAAGGAGGGGAAAAGACGGAGAGAGACATTAAAGATGTTAGCCCCCACCACCCAGTACACAACTATCAGAATCATTGCTCTATCTATTGCAGGATAAACTATGTTACTATACAATTTACGCTTATACAGTGCCTTTCACGTCAGGAGACGTTCAAAGCACTTGCTTCACAGTGTTGGATGAGCACCTGAGTTGGGGGTGGCAGTCGAGAGGGGAAGGATGACTGAAAGTGCCGTCAAAGACGTAGATTTTTGACATTTGTATTGCTCCCTCCCTTAAGTTATTAAAGAATACGTTAAGAGTTGTGATCTCTGGGGAAAACAGGTCATTAAAGTGTAAGGAATAAGGCTCCTCAATTTCCTCGCGACATATGCTCAAACCCACTCTCTTAATTTCAGAAAACATTCATAAACACGTCACCGATATTTCAGTCATTTTTGGGTGATGGAAAAATTTGGAGTCCTGTAGTGTAGTGGTTAGAGCACTTGCCTCAATGAGCCAGGATCCAGGTTCGATTCCCAGATAGAGCGAAACCTTAGGCAAGTTTCCTTACTCCACATGCTTCTGTTTAACTAGCAGTAAATAGGAACCCAGTTGTTAGTCAATTCGCAGATTGCTTTTCTGGGGATAATAATTCCTTCAAAGTAAATAATAATTTGGTTATTTCAATCCACGACTGTTTGTGGGACAATTGGCTGCTGCGTTTCGTCCACAAAATATACAGTCAATTCACTTTACAGTGAATTCTGAGAAGCGCTTTGTGACGTCCCGACGAAGTGATAAGGCTCCATATCAAATGCAAGGATTATTAAATAAAATTCGGAGGCTCCTAAATGAAGACTGAATCCAAGACGGGCACCAAAATTACACAAGATCCTAATTAGGAACATGAGGAATTTGGGGCACTGACAGTGTGGGGGTCACTTCCTGTGAAGGATTCTTGGCATATTTTGAAATCAGCAGCTCCACAGCTGCCCTACCACGACTGCACTTGGCCAGGAGTCAAAATGGGGCTTAGCACAGAGTTCCTGAGCATTGGAATTCAAACTTACAAACCTATCCTATTCCAGGGAAGGGTTACACCAAGCTCCAAGGAAAGACCCTCAAGAGAGGACAGGAAGAGGCTTGGAAATCCGCAGAGAGGAGAGAGTGAGTGGGGGTTCTCCTTGCAGAGCAGGGACCCAGGTTTATCTGTGGAGTGAGGACCGAACTTCTCTAGTTGGGCAACGTATTGGCTGCTGGTGATGAGCAGCAGGGAATTGACTAGAATGAAGGTAATTCGGAACAACCAAGGTTGCCCTGGGCACTCTCTGCTGGCTTTGGTCTTCGGTCACCCTCCTACCCCTACTCTCCCCACCTCCAGCCCCTCCTGATCCCAACCACCAGCTCGGGTGCGGATTCCTGACCGTCCAGCGCTTTGGGACGTCCTCCTGACACACACAGAACTTGTTGTTGGTGAGGCATACAGCCGTGTACGCGCTCCAAAATGGGGCTTTAATACAAAAAGCATGAGGTTGAGAACCGTAGAAATTTCGCCCGCAAAGTACACAGTCAATTCACTTTACAGTATATTCTGTGAAGCGCTACATCAAATACAAACATTATTATTATTATTCGATCGACAACACAGAAGAAGGTCATTTGGCCCACTGTGCCCTTGTTGGCTGTTTTAAAAGCAATCCTTTCAATCCTCTGTAGCTTACTCCTTTTTTAGATATCTATCTCATTGACTTTTGAAAACTGATATAGATTCTGCCTCAACCACCTCTCCCAGCAAGATGTTCCACATCCTAACCATGCTGTGTTTGAAAACGTGACTCAGCTCCTCATTTGCTGACTGTCCTAAATTGATGTCCTCAAAGAGGTTTCGTCCTGACGTGTTGCAGTACTGCGCTGGGGCAAACGGCCCTGAGCTACCCCTTCCTCCGGACTCTTGACAAGATTGTTTCATGATTTTTCTGTCAACCATATTAGAGTAATAATAACAATCCTTGCATTTTATATAGCGCCTTATCACATCGTTGAGACGTCTCAAAGTACTTCACAGAATACATTGTAAAGCGAATTGACTGTGTATTTTGTTGGATGAAACACGGCCAATTACACACAGCAGTGTCCCCCACAAACAATCATGGATTGAGCGACCAAATATTTTTTTAAGGGTTTATTAACCCTTGAAAGTGATCCACTAATCAACTGACCCACTTAGTGCGAGGTAAACAGGTGTGCGGAGCAGGAAAACTTGCCTAAAATTTCGCCCCACCCTGGGAATCGAACCAGGGTCCTCTCGTTTGCGAGGCGAGCGCTCTAACCACTACCGTACGGCACTCCAATGTTGCAATCATAAGAACATAAGCATTTTCTTAGTGAAAGAAGACCAACGTCCATTTAGTTCGTCTTCCACCATCCTGGCAGTTGCATGACATGTTGTGTCCCAAACTATATACTGTATCCTGAGATATTGTTTCCTAACAGAATCCAATTTGTTCTTGAAAGTATTGACACTCTCTGCTTCCACCGTCTCTCTAGGGAGCCTGTTCCGTACGTTTACTACTCGCTCGCTGAAGTAGTGTTCCCACAGATTTGTTTTCAATTTACCCCTCTTCAATCGCAGGTTGTGCGTGTCCTCTGGCTCTACTATTCTGGACAAGATAAAACAGCTTATCACGGTCTGCATTATAATCAACACGTGCAGTGCCCGAAGTAACGAGGCTGTACGTACCTTCTCCAGGAAGCAGAGCTTCTCCTTGGTTCTTGCGTCCAGAATCTCCACCTCAAAGAAAACACAGGCTTTTTTAGATTTTCTCTGTGGTCTCCGCAACGGTGCCTGTAAGATGAACTCGTTCCCCAGCAGGATGGTGGGGCTAGACAGTAACATACTCCTATCCATCCCTAGCCCGTTCCCTCCTTCCTCTCTCTCACCGACTCCCTCCTTTTTAAAGCCTTTTCCTTTTCAGTAATAAGGAAGGGACTGATTCTACTGGATGGAGCAACGTGGAGATAAACCGCCTAATTTGCCGTTTGCAAAGAACGAACAGAGCAGCTCTACCCAGTGGGTAACCTGATACCACCAGGCAACAAGCTCCTGGCACTTCACACTAAATATAATCATCTTCCCCTTTAAACAGTCACCGATGGGAAACATCTGCACCTCTTCGGACTGGGGGAGCTGGAGGAGCTTTGCAATGGCTGCCTCGCTGTTCTGAAGCAGTACGGGGGTTTGGGAGTGTGAGAGAGTCGCAAGCCTGTTTCTCCCGTTGGGCAGCGAGCAGTACTGACTGCCTCTCAGCAGCTGAGGAAGCAAGCTACCACTTCAGTGCTCGCTGAGGGCAGGGAGTTCTCCCCCTCGGCTCCTGTTAACCCTGCAAACCAAAGTCCTAACGGGTAGGGTGGTCCTAGCAGGACAAGCAGCGTGAAGGCTGGCCAGACAGCGCTCTCAATGGGCAAGCTATGTGGTGTTAGCTGGTTCGGGCTCTTGGGATCCCCCAAGAGTTGGCTCTTGTCAACCTGCGCCTAATACTTTGGGGAATTAGGTAATCAGGAAGCATTCCTCCAGAGAGAGAGAGAGAGAGAGAGCATTCCATCGCAACAATCTATCTCGGGGATTTCCAGGTGTAGGTGGAATGCCTGGAATTCTCAATTAGGTTTGGAGGCTCTTAAGCAACAGTGATGGGTTTCTGCGTGTGTCAGACATCTGGCTGGGCAACAAAAAAAGCCAGGCTCCCCACTTGTGCTGGTGAGAAGTGTGAGGGTCGGCCACATCGCAGAATGGCTAGAGAGACTTCTGTGTGAGCTGTGGGCTGGAGGGTGGTGGCAATGCCGTCATGTATTTCATGCTGAATTGAGCATTCAGCGTAAAATGCCTCCGCTCGGCTGGCTCTGGCCTCCTGTTTGTCTCGCTTGCCCTCCGTTCCAACGGGGGACGCACTTTCAGCCATTAACGCCCTGAAACTCTGGAGCACTCTCCCTCAAGCCCTCCATCTTGCCCCCCTTCCTTCCCCGTCTTCACATCGCGCCTGAAGACCGTCCTCTTCGACCATGCGTATGGTCACCTCCCCCCCACCAGCTCGCTGTCGTGATGGGCCACTGGCAAGTGCTCTGGGACGCTACCTGCATGAGGGGTGTTGTGTTAATCCAAGTTGTTGTTGAATTGTGCTCCTCACTACCTGCTATCCACTGAGTGAGGGCTCACACTTGTGCTTATGAAATTTCAAGTGACCAACTTCTAACTATCCTCCTAGAAGGTAAGTGGGGTCTCCTTGAGCCTGAACTGGACCTAAGGCGACATACTTGCCAATGGAACGTTGGAATAGATTTAACCCTCTGTGGCGGTCTTGCTAGTCCAGCAAGGCCAGCATTCCATGGCACAGCTGATGACAGACCAGCCCGGCTTGTCATCGGAAGGGAAGGGCAGAATGACAACCGGTTGTTGGGTTTTTACCCACTCCATTCCGGTTGACTGTTCAAGCCAAAGCCTAAATAGATAGGGAAGTCCTAGCTGGACAAGGAGCACATAGGATTATTATTGCTGTGTCCCACAAACAGTCATGGAGTAAGTGACCAATTTTATTTGGGGGATTGTTGGCCAGGACACTGGGAGAGAGAGAAACTCTCTCCTCTTTTTGAACAACGCCACGGGATCGTTAACATCCGCCTGAACAGGCCGACGGGGAGCTCGGTTTAACGTTTCATCTGAAGGACGGCACCTCCGACAATGCAACACCCCCTGCAGTGGAGTGTCAGCTTAGACTATGCGATCCCAAGTCCTGACATGGGGGCTTGAACCCACAACCTTCTGTCACCTGAGCCAGGCTGACACTTGTCATGTTCTCTGACTCTCTACCTGACATCTTCCCCGACCCCAGTATGTAAACACACTGCCTTGTGCAGACAGACGTGCTTGGAACAGCTGCGGAGAGCAACTGATGGCTGTCACTGAAGCACGAACAAACAGCTGTCTGCAGTTAAAGATAGAGCTCCTGATCCCCTCTCCCCCTCCCGCACCCCCAGCCCAGCCCGGAGCTCCAGCCCGAGTCTTGGGACACGTTAACATCGGTATGGCCGAAGATCTGCGACACTAGAAAAGCTCGAACTCAAACTTTGCTAACTTACAAGGGGAAAGAGTCTGTCAGGAATAACCTGCTCAGGCTCGCCGAGTCCCTGGGAAACGTTAATTTTGAAATACGCGTGGAGATCACATTTCGCAGACTTCGACACGTTCCCCCCCACCTCCAACTGAGCTCTGGAGCAGGCTGTAATGGAGGCCACAGAGAAGACAGACACTTGCCTCACCCGAGGTGTGAGTGAGCAGCCTTCGCCTGAGCCCCGCAGCTGATTTAACTCCTACTTCTACAACCGGCACTAGCAAAGACCAATGTTCAGGGACCAAGTGCAACGCACGGACTGGAACACCTCGGTCCAGGTATGTCTAGCCAGAGCCTCTCTCTCTCTCTCTCTCTCTCTCATCACGTTGTCAGGGCCTCTTGCAGGTCGTATTTACCGGGAACCCGTCAAATCGCTTCACCAGGAACCATGAGCCGCAGTGATCGCCCGTGACCCGTCACGTCTCTCAATTTTATACGTGCTGCAGGAGAGGCTGAGGAGGAGGTGGGAGGTAGGAACTACGGTCCTGCTTGAAGATATCAGTTTTATATTATTCTGGGCATAATTATGTTTTAACAATAATAAGTCTGGTGTGGATAATCTTAAGATGGTGATGAGTTTCCGCGTGCGTCAGATGACTGGCTGACCAAAAGAATTGTTGGGAGGTGCGATGCTTATTGCGCCTTATCATGTCGTTGAGACGTCTCAAAGCACTTCACAGCATATGCTATAAAGTGTAGTGACTGTGTCTTTTGCGGGCAAAATCCAGGTTATGGGGGTTTCATTTTCTTAATGCGTGACCCCACCCCAGCTCACACCAGCCACACTGCCCCCCCCACCCCGCCAGTCACATTTCTCTCCCCACTTGCCAGCCATACATCCCCCCCAACCCCTAAACCCGAGTCCTCTCGCTTGCGAGGCGAGCGTGCTAACCACTACGCAACTGGACTCCATTGGAGATCTAATTTTGACTGGTGGGTGAACTGGTAACAAAGCCGCATCAAAATTCAAGAATATTACTGGAAGTGGTAACAGAAGTTCAGAAATGCTTTTACACAAAGGACTTATTTAAAAAGGAAATCAGAAAAAGCACTTGAGGAATGAAGATATAAAAGGTTATGGGGAAGAAAGGAGAATGGGTTTAGTGTCAGAAGCTGCAGTGGGGGAGAGAGCACTAGGAGAGCTAAATGCCTATTTCTGTAGTGAGGTGTGTGATGAATCAATGGCTTCAATGCGACAAGTCATTTAATCAGAGTTCAGCACTACCATCCAGGGGTAGCCTGGGGTACGGCAGGAAGGCACCCAGGACAGAGCAACAGCTTGTACCTCTGTAGCCTCTCACGTAAAATAATAATAATAATAATCCTTGCATTTGATATAGCGCTTTTCACGTCTTCTCGACGTCTCAAAGCACTTCACAGAACACACTGTAAAGTGAATTGACTGTATGTTTGTGGGCGAACGCGGCGGCCAATTGCGCACAGCAATGTCCCACAAACAGTCGTGGATTGAAAATGACCAATTTATTATTGTTTTTGGTTTTGGAGGGATTATTATTAGGCTCTGTGTGGAGTAAGGAAACTTGCCCGAGGTCTCGCCCTCTGCCTGGAATTGAACTCAGGTCTCTCGCTTGCAAAGCGAGTGCTCTAACCACTGAGCTACAGGACTCCACAGGTCGTCTTATCACGTCGTCGAGACGTCCCAAAGTGCTTCACAGAATATACTGCAAAGTGGATTGACTGTGTATTTTGGGGCCGAAAAGCAGCAGCCAATTGCACACAGCAGTTGTGGATTGAGTGACCCAGTTTTGTTCTGAGGGATTATTACCCCCGGAAAAGCAATCTGCAAATTGACTAACAACCAGGCTCCTACTTACCGCTAGTTACACAGAGGCGTACGAGTAAGAAAACTTGCCTCAGGTTTTGCCCCACCCGGGAATCTAACCCGGGTCCCTCCCGCTTGTGCTTCCAACATCTTCACACGTAATTGCTGTCTTGTGGCCTGACTGTGTTTTTATACACAACCACCGTGCAATCAATTTGACCACAGCAATGCCCCACAAATGCCTGCCACAGGTGGAGGCACTCTCGCCTCCGAGTCACAAGATTTTGGTTCAAGCCCCATGCCAGAACTTTTAATTTTATTATTAAACTCACTTCACTACACGTCACTGTATTTTCTGTGAAATGTTTTGAGCTGTAATCGTGACGCGAAAGGCATTACATCAATTGTAAGGATATTTATTTATTGTCGTCCAGGACACCGGAAGAAACTTCCTTCTCTTTTCTAATAATAATAATAATCCTTGCATTTGATATAGCGCTTTTCACGTCTTCTCGATGTCTCAAAGCGCTTCACAGAATAGACTGTAAAGTGAATTGACCGTATATTTGTGGGCGAATAGTGATAGGGAATCTTTAATGTCCACCTGAACAGGCAGACGGTAGGTCGGTTTAACGTCTCATCCGAAGGGCGGCACGTCTGACTCTGCTGCGCTCCCGAGCCCTGCACTGGTGTATCAGCCCTAGATAGGAACTTGAACCCACTGGGTTCTGAATCAAGGCGAAAGTGCTACTGACCGAGCCAAGTTGGCATTTCACAACAACAATAATAATCCTTGCATTCGATACAGCTCCTTATCAAGTCTTCGAGACGTCTCAAAGCTCTTCAGAATATACTGTAAAGTGAATTGACTGTACATTTTGTGGGCGAAACGCGGCGGCCAATTGTGCACAGCAGCGTCCCCACAAACAGTTGTGGATTGAGTGACCAAATTTGTTTTTAAAATAGGGATTATTACCCCCAGAAAAGCAATCCACCAACCGACTAGCAACTGAGTTCCTACTTACTGCTAGGTAACAGAGGAGTGTGGAGTAAGGAAACTTGCCCAACATTTTGCTCTGACCCTCCCGGGAATCGAACCCAGGTCCTCTTGCTCGCAAGGTGAGAGCTCTAACCACTGAGCTACAGGACTCCACAATGAACAAGCTCACACGATTTGGCCACAGAGGTTTTCCCAATCTCTGGTGAAGTTGCAAAACGGGTCTGGCTGGACAGTGGGAGTGGGGTGAGGAGACAGCTCAGACAGCAATGTCAGCATCACAAAGCAGATAAGAGAAAGGACTTTGATTCCCACACAACAAATGAGCTGATACTTAGGAGTTGTGCAACTGAGTGACTGTTGTTCGTTCTCCTGCTTCCGAGAAATCTGACTTCAATATACCTGACCTTGAATTCAAGATCCCTTTAAATCCCTCACTATCTTTCCTACCTTCTGTGACCTCTTCTAACCCTACCGACCTCGCCCAGCTTCATACATCCCCCCCACCCCACTCCATCATTGGCAGGTGGGCTTTCACCCATTCTGACCCCACTCTCAGGAATTCCAACCGGGAGAGCTCGACTCACTCCCTCCCTCCTTCCCCTCTTCTAAGGCCCATCTCAAAACTACGTCCGCACTGTGAAGCGCTTGGGGACATCCTCCTGGTGTTTTTCACGATATTTTTGCTACCACAGCAGTGCGAGTTATAATAATGTCTGCATTTGACGTAGCACATTATCCTATCAATGCATCTCAAAGCAATTCAGTCAGTCACTCTGACTTGTGGCAATTGTTGGCAGGCAAAAATGACACCTAAACGGCATCAAAACAACAACTTGCATGTATATAGCGCTCTTCATTCAGGTAGTGTCTCGGAGCACTTATAGTGGCAGAGCCTGAAGCCAAGCTGGGGAGAGATGGCCCTAGATACAGTCGAGGAAGTAGGTCTTCAGACAAGATCTGAAATGGGGAAGGAGGGGGAAAGGTGGATGGATTGAGGGAGATTTCTAAAGTTTCAGTGTGTAGTGGCTGAAAGCAAAGCCGCCGGTAGCGAAGCGGAGGGTAAGACGGACAAAAGGGACAAGCAGGAGGCTGGAGTAAGCAGGTCGGATACTCCAGGGCATGAAGGGCTTTGTAGAAGAGTGTGAGGATCTTGAAGTCAGTTCTGTGATAGGGAGCCAGTGGAGCCTGGCAAGGCCGAGCTTAGTATGAGTGAGTATATCGGTGGTGGAGTTTTGAATTAATTGGATTTTGCGGATAGTGTAGATGTAGAGACCAACGAGGAGGGCATTTGAATAGTCGAGAAGGGAGTGTCGGATGACAAAAGTGACAAAAGTGTGGATGATGTTCACAGACATCACTCACAACAAGTCATCTACGTTCTGGCAATTTTTAGGTAAGGGAGAAATATTGATAATGATAATCCTTGCATTTGATATAGCACCTTATCACATCATTGAGATGTCTCAAAGCGATTCATTGCGCAGGATATTGGGAGAAACTGCACAAACTGTGCCTTTATAATAGGATCTTTAACCCGAACCTCTGAATGGGCAGGACTGCCACTTTGACAAGGTAGTGCTCCCCTAGTCTTTCAAAGTAATAATAATAATCCTTGCATTTGATGTAGCACCTTATCTTGCCTTCGAGATGCCTCAAAGTGCTTCACAGAACATACTGTAAAGTGTAGTGACTGTATATTTTGTGGGCGAGTATCGGGATTATGAGCTCACGTCCTGGTTTGGGCTCAAATCTATAACTCCACAGCCCCAGAGACAAGACCACAACCAACCGAACCACACAGAACGTACCCATACGGATAGCGATACCCAGGAGCACAGAGTTGCTCCTATTTGAAACTGTTTCTGATCCAGTCCCACGATGGACCTTTCACTTACGTGGCTTTTGATTTAATTACTATTTAATTAATAATTCCTTCAAAAAACATAATGACAATACATTGGTCACCTCAATCCACAAGCGTTTCTACGACACTGCTGTGCGCAATTGTCAGACGCGTTTCTCCCGCAAAACATGCAGTCAATTCACTTTACAGTATATTCTGAAAAGCGCTTTGAGACGTCTCGAAGACGTGATAAGGCGCTATATCAAATGCAAGGATTATTATTTTTATTATTGAGCGTTTCTGCCACATAGGAAACATAGGAACAGGAGTAGGCGATTCAGCACCTCGAGTCTGTTCCGCCATTCTATTAGATCATGGCTGATCTGTACCTCAACTCTAATTATTAATTAACTACGTTGGGTGTGAGGTATGATTGCAGGCGGTAAATGTGATGGAGGTGGACGAAAGCGATTCCCTGCTAGGAATCGTTGATAAAACTTTCTGTTCAAAGTACTCCCTCAGCAGTATCAGAAAGCATTAGATTACTGTATTATCTGCTGCTAGACTGTTGTACCTGCTCCTTGGCTGTACCAATGCGATAATACTCGTCACATGGGAGTCATAATAATCCCAGGAGCAGCTTTAACAAGGTGGACATTTTGCCTTAGCTTCTGCTTACTTAGCACTAAGTAAGAACCTGGTTGTTAGTCGATTGGCAGATCACTTTCCAGGGGTAATAATCCCTCCAAAAAAATAAATAAATTTGGTCACTCAATCCACAACTGTTTGTGGGACACTGCTGTCGCGTTTTGCCCACAAAATACAGTCAATCCACTTTACAACATATCCTGTGAAGCGCTTTGAGACGTCTCAACAACGTGATCAGGTGTTATATCGAATGCAAGGATTATGATTATTATTAGCTTGGCACACCCTCATAGAAGCAAGGAGTCCTGTAGAGCACTCGCTTTGCAAGCGAGAGACCTGAGTTCAATTCCCGGCAGGTCAGGGAGAAACTTTGGGCAAGTTTCCTTACTCCACACACCTAATAATAATCCCTCCAAAAAAAAAACAATAATAAATTGGTCATTTTCAATCTACGACTGTTTGTGGGACATTGCTGTGCGCAATTGGCTGCCACGTTCGCCCACAAATATACAGTCAATTCACTTTACAGTGTGTTCTGTGAAGCGCTTTGGGACGTCCTCCCGACGTGAAAAGCGCTATATCAAATGCAAGGATTATTATTATTATTATCTGCCGACAACTACTGAAAGCTCCCCCTGGAGCCCCAACAACTCCACAGGATCCAGGATTCGGACAGATAGAAAACTTTAGAAACGCAAGTACGTCCGGGCTGGAAAATGGAAGGGCACTTGCATACAAAGTACTGTAACTCCCTCAGCTACAACAGGAAGTGGCACATTAATGTATTTTTGTACTTAAAAGCAGATGCTGACCTGCCAATTAGGGTTAAGGTTCGGTGACTTACATCACATCGCCTGCGCAATTTGGCCTACAACCATCGGTCACCGAGCTTTCAACCTTTCTGCTTCCATTCTCTGGAACTTTGATTTTGGCCTGCCAGGTGTCTGACATCAGCGGAAACCCATCACCATTGCTTAAGGGTATCCAAACCAAGAGTTACATCATGCATCCCAATATATGGAAATTCCCATGTATTGGAATGTGCACTCCTCTCTCGCTGGAGGCACTCACTTTGCTCACCCAATGCCGGAGAGTATTACATGCAGGCTGGCGAGAGACCAAGGTTTGGGAAAGTCCACACTCTCGGGAAACCGCTGGAGTCTAACCAGCTAAAATTTGCAATCAATATTCTGGTAAACTTTCCCGCTGCTTGTCCAGCTAGGACCACCCGACCCGTTAGGGCTTTGGCTTGCAGGGCTAACAGGAGCTGGGTGGGAGGATTCCAGGATTCCAGCCCCCAGTGACTGGTCTGACCTTCCCTACTGATGAGCCAGGCTGGGCTGACCTGGAGTATTGCGGACCTGCCTGGCTCAGGAACTAGACATCCAAGAGAGAGAGAGAGGGAGACACACACACATATACACAGGGTGGGCCCCATTCCAGCATTCCATCAGCCAAGCAGGTCACCCCGGCCCCAAGGAGATCTTGCTTTACCTCTCCCCCACCCCTCCTCCAACTTCAACAAAGGTCCCATACCAGGGGGAGTCTGGTGGTGGGGGGGTGGGGGCAGAGTAGAATAGGGGTTGGGGTAGATGTAAGTTTGCGGGAGAGTAAGTCACTACACTAGCTGACAGAGGGGTGGTGGGAGGGAGTGGGGCAGTGGGTGGGCTGGGCGGAGGGTAGTTTACTGTACAGTCTGACTGGGGGGAGAGGGTGGGAGGGAGTCAGTCACTGCACTGGCTGACAGAGGGATGGGGGAGGGGCTGAGGTTGACTGGGAGGGGTGGGGGAGTCAGTCACTACACTAGCTGACAGAGGGGTGGTGGGGGGGGGGGCTGAGGGTGGGAGGGAGTGGTTGGGTGGCTTGTGGGTGTGTGTGGGGGGGGGGGGAGTCAGTCACTGCACTGGCTGACAGAGGGATGGGGGAGGGGTGGGGGAGTCAGTCACTACACTGGCTGACAAGAGGGGGCTGCTGCGCCTGCGCAGTTCCCTGACGGCTGTCCCCGGCGCGCGTGCGCAGTAGCCTCTCCCGGGTGCCTAGTTACCGGCGGCGGTGAGGGCTCTATGGCGGTTTTCCCCTCATCATCTCCCTCAGTATCTCCCTCACACACACACACACGCTCGTCCGTCGCTTCTTCCCTCCCTCCCTCCCTCTCTCCTGAGGCCCAGCGGACCGGCTGCAGTACCTGGTTGGGCTTCATTGCCGCGGCCCCGGTGTCTTCGCTCTCTCCGTGTCTCGCGCGCTCCCAACAGCCTCCTCCCCACCCCCCACGTGACAGGCCAGCCGCCGCTCTCAGCCAATCACTGACCCGCAAATCCCCCCTCCCCAATCCAGCCAATCACTGACGCAGCAAAAGGTCTCTGCGACTACACCCAGAATTAGCGACTCACCAAAGCACGCAGTACGATCGCTCTGATTACTGGT